AATTCCAGTCGAGTTTTTTTAAAAATTAACTTGCGTGCAAATACCCTTGGGAAAGATATGAATCCATCTCTTTTCCCTCCACCTTAGGGTAAATAGCAAGACAGACTTTGATGGCAACCGGTCTAGGAGAAAGACGGAAGACAACTTTGAATTCTAAACTGTCGACTATGGGCAAATAGTAGAGTACTCCGGCCTTTGTGGCCACGATAGTCAACCAGTCTGAGAGGAGAGAACTTTGAATTCAAAACTATACGCAGCCCTGGCGAAACACATACTATGCGGCTAAGGAAAGGACTCGATGATCCCCGACTACGATCGACCTAATTCACAGCACAGGTTGTAAAAGTTTCGTATTTTAAATGATAATAATAGAAATTAATATAAGAATAAGAAAAAAATTATTTGAAGTAATAACAATAATAATTCTTAAATTAATACATTTCATGAAGTGCTGTTTACTCCGACATCCAGCGTAAGATGTATATGTAGGTTTATGCGTGCGTGTGTGTGTGTGTGTATATATATATATATATATATTTATATATATATATATATATATATATAACAATTTATGCAAAGCATTAAATAGCAATGTTAATGTGATACTTTTAGTCTACGCACCGTTCATCTTATTATTAGCCTATACATAAGAAAATTGTGCCCTAAAGATCACAATTTGAAATTGTCGAAAGTACTTGGCATGTGTCTTCCATCTGACAACAGCTCGAATATTATCCAAGGAATTGATAGTAAGTTAATGTCGCATTAAGTTCTGTTGGCGAAGTGATTTCACCATTAATAACATTAACATTGCTATTTAATTCTTCGTATAAATTGTTTCTTTATGATATAAAATATAAGTTACACACTCTAATCTCTCTCTCTCTCTCTCTCTATCTATTTATCTACATCTATATATATATATATATATATATATATATATATATATATATATATATATATATATATATATATATATATATATATAGTGTAAGAAATAACAGTTCTCAATGTTAAATAACAGTGCTATTTTATATATTAAGAAATATACATAATATCTTATATTGATTACACAGGTCGGAGTTTCATACGTTCTACATTCGCCAGGTGCAAAAAACAAAATAAATTTCTTACATATATATATATATATATATATATATATATATATATATATATATATATACACTACAGTTCAAAAATTTGAGTTGTTTCGCACTTTGAATAAGAGAAAATTATTACTCTACTACGGTTACTTCAGGTTGTTTATGATTCTTTAAGATCGAAAAATGGACGGAAGGACGGATACACGTACACTGAGCTTTATTACTATAGATGGTTTAAAAGATTTTTTTATTCGAAATTTTATTATGACGAAAAGAAAAAAACGCAATTTATGATTAAAAATTGCTCTTGTCAAAATATCCTCCATTAATCTTGATTACTGCACCACAAATATTGGCATTCGTTGCAAATTGATAATTGATTTCATTCTTTTTTTAATGATTCTAACAGCTCTTTTTTCATTTTTGGGATGGTAAAGTTTAACTCTTCTATCAAGTTCAACGCCCGCTAATTCTGGGGATGGCTTCAAACTTTTGAGTCGTAATGTATGTGTGTTTATATTTATGTATATTTAGGCAACATCTGTCTATACTTCTGAGATGAGGTATTATGTACATTATTTACATTATTCGGAATATGGTCCTCATCTTTGACGCTATATTTATTACAATGTTTCGAACTGAGGTAGACTGTTCTAGTTCCACGTGCCATGTTTAATGGATGTCAGTTATCAGTTATCTCCTGCTAATTTCCATCTGAACGGGCGGGTATTGAACTCACTCTGTCAAACCAACGCCTTTATCCACTGTGCCATGTGTCCTTGAGGACATCTGTGTATGAATTTCTGGATATTATAAAACTAATGTCTCAGCAACCATTTTTACCAGTGCTCATATTGCTCATATTGCAATTTTTGCTGTTATCATTGCATGTTTTTACCAGAGCTCATATTGCAATCAAGTTGAGATCATAGACAAGGAACACCATTGGAAAATTCGTAAACTTAAGGAATCGGCACATATGCTAGGCCACAAAAATCTGAGCCGACCAAGCATAGAAATGAATACAATCTGGGAACCAGTAATAAGGAGTGCAAGAGAAAAGCAATAATAACAAGAAAAGTTGACTTGGCCATCACAACGCTGAGTATCTTTACTAATCTTGCCTAAGTCTCGCCTGACTTGGTCAGTGAGAGAAACCATGAATCCATGGATAAAACAGCCATTTAAAATAGCCGACATTGCCTACGTAATCGATTAAAGGGCATCCTACCCCGAAAAATGATACCCAAGAACCGCTTCTTTTTAAGCAGGCTGCCGCGCGAATAATTCCACAAGTACTAATATTAAAGTCTTGTTAAATACTAAAATCTGAGAGCCTACGATTAGTCGTCATCTAACTGCCATATCCTTGTTATTTCACTTCCCAATTCTGCCTCCAAATCTTATCTCACACATCTCATTCAGTAACCCTCTATCTTGAGTGTCTCTTGGGCCTCACACTGAGTGAACTTTAATATAACAGATATGCGGCGAGATCGAATAAATAATACAAAGCTATATTCTATATTACTAATAAACCAACGCACTAAGAAGTCTTTGAAAGTAAAAATTCTAAAAATATATTTCTTTTCATGTTATTATTAATTTCATAAGAGTTTTTATTGCTTTTTTATCGCATGCTAGTGCGTGGAAAGAATTGAATAAGTAATTGCGTAGGTGGGCTGAAAACTTCAAAGGCAGACTATAAAGTTGTCGTGTTAGACTGGTGATATCTTACATCCATTAATTTTAACTCTTCTTATTAATAAGTGCATTGTAAACCTACATCTGACTGTTCGGAGTCATCGGTAGCAGATATGATGTCATCTGCACTGTGCTACTGGTTCAAGGCCAAGTGTTTTTTCATGTTGGAGAACAGATGATTGTCAGATAGAGCCAAATCAGACGAATAGGGAGAGCGATCAACCAGCTCAAAGCCATAGTCACGCACAGGAGCCATTGGAACCAAGGAGTTGTGTGCTGGAGCGTTGTCTTGATAAAACAAGACTCCTTTTTTTCAGTTTTCCAGGGCGTTTGATCTTGATAGCCTTTCGTAACTGCCTTAGCATGTTAGCATGGATGGAGTGAGCCTCTTGAAGATGATCAATAAGCACAATGTCTTTTGCATCCAAAAAACAAATAAAACGAGGTCATCACCTTCTTTACAGATGAAACGACCTTGGCTTCCTTTGGGAGAGGTGGGGTGTTTCAACTGCATGGACTGTCTCTTTGTCTTTAACGCAAAGACATGGACCCAACATTTATCCTGGGTTAGAAAACATCCAAGGAGATCATCTGGATCTGCCTCAAACAATACCTGATTTTCCCCTATTGTGATCATCCTGTGTACTTTTGATCAAGTGTCAGAAGAAGTGGAATTTACCAATCAGAGACCTTCGTCATGCCAAGGTCATTGTGCAGAATATTCATCCCTCTCTCATGGGATATGCTAATAGCATTGGCTATTTGAATTATAGCCAATCGCCTGTCATCCATCACCATGTGATGCCGTCAACGATAAACTACATCCGCGTCCTGGGTAAGATGATAAACTACTTCCAACAGCAAGGCCTCTGAGGAGGTTTTGAGAAGCGTGGAACCACCTCTCAATTGCTGGTGTTCCCAGGTCCACCATGACCCGAGGTAGTAGCCCCTGTTAGGGTCCCAGCTGTGGGTAAATAGTTAACCACCAAACTAGGGTTAAAAAAATCTATGAAAGTGTAAAAATAGTTTTTAATACCAGAAATACTTTGTAAAAAAATGTTACCAGCTATACATTTAAAAAAAAAAAAATTACCAGCAATACATTTTTGAAAAAAAAAAAATTACCAGAAATACATTTAAAAAAAAAAACCTCAAAAATATGAGTAATTGAAAAATGGTTCAAATCTATATGTATACATACACACCTTTTTTCCAAACTATCACTATGAAATTATTTCAAACTTTTGTTGGCATTACATGAGCCACTGAGGTTGATATGCCATAAAACAAAACAACCAACCATGTGATGAACACGATCAATGTTTTTCCTCGGTGTGTGACAGCTGCAGGACGTCTGCACTTTGGGTCATCTAAATTCAGCTGCATACTTTTGTACTGTTCATAAAACTGGGGCGTGATTCCCTAACGAGGTAGCTATATCAGCATGAATTTCTTTGGAGGCAAACCCTTTTTTTCCTGTACGTACTTGATAACATAACGTAGAAATTGTGTCCATTTTCAAGAGAAGTCGCTATTTGTAATTTTGAAGTCAGATGTCAGTTTGAGTGGAAATAAACAATGCAGTTATTAATAAGAAGAGGTGAAAATAATGCATGCAAGATCTCACAGCTCTGCATCACACCTTCATAGTCAGCCTATGAACTTTTCAGCCCCCCCCCACTCGTATAGGACTAAATGTAATGCAATCAGCTGATCGGATTACGCCACTGTTTTTTTATATTAAAGTTAGCTCAAGGCTCAAGAGCCACTCATGGCAGAATTTACTGATCGAGGTGTATGATACGAACGTAAGTGAAGAGTATAGGGATATAATGCATAGATAACGATTGGCCATCGACTTGGAGGTTAAAATTTTAGTTTCCCCGTGTGAGTTTGTTCCACAAATTGGTTGGTTGTTTTTATTTAGTGTCACATCAACAACTCTATGGGTCATTTAATGCCGAAATCTAAATATTTCGTACGCAGTTTTATTATTTTAGGAATATAATGGTTTAGTGATACAAGTCTTACTAATTAACCTTTAGCTGGGGGGAGAAGAGGTGGGTTCATTCCTTTCGCAAGGTTATTAATGCGTCAGTGAATGTAAGGAATCCGACTGGAAATCGAACTCGGCTTTCTGATTTCCAATTCCGAGCCATTATCCGTTACACCACCCACACATCCAAGCTTACAGCATCTGGTGCTCTTCCCTAGCAGTCACCCATACAGGTACTGACCAGGCTCGACGTTGCTTAACTTCGATGATCATACCGGAACTGATGTTTGAACATAATTTGGCCGTAAGCCTTCTGTTCCACAAACTAGCGGTTCTTGGGAAAGTAGGTTTCGGCGTAATAATAAAAAAACAAAGACCATATTTGATATCTGCTCTATGTGAAACATTTTTTTAACAAACTCAGAATCATAAAACAAATATTAATTCACAATAATTAATTAATAGTTAACAGATATTAATTCATAATAATTTCCGTAACCACATAATTGATAAAAAAGGGGAAAAAACTCGGAAAAAAACTAAAAGCCAACAATAAAACAATAATTAGAAAAATGTTATTAAACTTTTCAACAGAAATCAACAACACAGTAAGTACAAGATTGGCAGTATTATAAGGAATCTAACAGATGGATACATATAGATTAATAACACAAATAAAGAAAGTAAACCTATTATTTAAAACCAAACTCCAACATGACAATCATCAAAAAAAATATCATAAATCTATGTTATTTATGACGTCGCTTGTCTGCTTGGAGGATGCTTCTATGAAATAATTCAAACTACATAGAGAGGGGATATTTTTTCAGTGCGCCCACGTCGCAAATGAATGTGACACAAAGTTAGTTTAGAATGGGTTTAACGGCAATACCGTGGAAAAACTGCTCAAGCCCTTCTCGGCACTTCCCAGGTACCGGTTAATGATCCCAGCCTCCTCTCGAAAGTGAAATAATGCTTGCAGGGAAGCCTCGCCCTGAGCTTGGAATTAATATCATTTTCAACTTTCTTTGATTGAAGCTAACTTCGATACAAGACACAAACTACACATACAGGGTGTTTAAAAAAATGTGTACACATGTTGAAGCTTACTCAGGAGATAATTCAACCAACTGTACCTAAGTTAAGTAATGCATAGGAAGAGAGCAGGGCTGGACTAACCACTAAGAAAAATAAGCACCTGCTTAGGACATCAAGGAAAGCGGGTACCACAGAAATTATGATATGACGTTGTTGTACACGTCTTAATAAATATGTCGAACACGATTAACATTTGAATCTGCCGAGTGCCATTACGAACGTGGAGACGACTGACCCGCTGAGAATCATTTTGTATTTCTGATTGGTTAATAAGGGAATGAGCTAAGGGAGATAATGAAGTTTGTATTTACTCAATACATCACATCTTGCCTGTTGAATAAGTTAGTATTACTAAGTAACTTTATGGGATTTAATTTTTGTGAACAATAACCTTCATGTTTGGCATTATTCTGGCCATACGTTTATGTGGTTTTGTAATGCGCTAGTTTGTTGATTACATGGCCAGTTCTGTTCACAGTTCTGGTCGTGGCTCATTTGACAGTGACTGTTAAGCTTTTTTATTTTTCATTTTATTTTATTTTTTTGCTGATTTTCCACGGTGGTGTTTTGAATTGGAACTGATGATTAACTTCTCTCGATGGTCGTATGTACCTTCAATTTCTTCTGTATCTATTTCAAGCTGGTGTTTCCATAATGTATGTTCTCGGCTACTCTCCAAGACTCCATGCAAGTATGCTTAACTCGCAGATGTTTGGGAGCACCAAAATCTTTTAAGCATTTATGCTACCAAAAGTATTTTAAGTGCTCAAGGCCCTCATAGGTCTTAATCCGCTCCTAGAATACAGTATTTATTATAAATGCATGCTCTTAAGATTTTATCATCGCATGTTTTCAAATTGATGTCCGTTATGAGCCAGGCATTGGTGCCAACGCGATGCAACAGAATTACAAGCACCAATCAACCTTTCGATAGGTATTTTTGCTCTTTCTTTTTTTATGTGTCATGTTCTTTCAGGGCGTAGGCGATAATGGCTCTCCACCTCCCTCTATCTCTTGCAGCTCTCAACAAGTTCCTTCTCTCTGCCACCCCCACTCAGACCACGTTCTGTCATCCACTTGCTTAAGCTCGCTAGTATGTCTTTCGTTATTTTCCATTGTCTTCCTTTCACTCTATTCGACCCGTGAGTATCAGATTCTGCAGGCTCTCCTTCCTCATTATGTGTCCTAGAAACTTCAGCTGCCTCTTTCTGGTATCAAGTATAAGCCTCCTCCTTGTTTGCATCTTCTCTAAGACCTCATCATTGCTCACACGCTGGGTCCATGATATCCTTAGCATCTTTTTGTAGAACCACATCTCCATCGCTTCGAGAGGGAAACTTTTAATTTCAACGCCTCTAGCTAGAATTGAAGCCTAGACTTTATCATTTAAAGTATCTCCACTATAAAAAGTCTAAATGGACCGGTAAATGAGGAGGATGTAAAAGTGTGTATACTTTATTTTGGGACACCCTTTATATTGGTTTCACAACTACTACATTGTCACGCGTTGACTCGAATAATATATCACACCCACCAAGACAAAGGAAAATATATCAATAAGTCCATCAAAGCATTACAACTCCCACGTAAACTGTAAAAAAACGATTACAACTACTAGAAGTATCAAGAATAAAAGTAAGCAACACATCAATAAAATCACATAAAATCTACGACCTAACATATTAAATATATTTGCCATCTAATATACTGATTTGTTTCAGTAAAAAAAGGCGATACAAACTGTCATGCGAACACTTTCACGCAATATTTAAATGTGAAGACGTCAATCACAAATGTTTGAAAATGAAACGGTCATCATAAATAAAATCTTTGGAAAATGTTTAATGTCAAACGAAATTAGTGACACATTTGGAAGAGAGATTTCTAAATCTGAACCTGAAATCACGACAATAATTCGGAACAGTGAAAAACAATACATAAAAACTAATTAACAAGGAATTTTTGTGTCTATATTTCTGAGATGAGGTATTATATGCACTACTTACATTATTCGGACTATTGTCCTCATCTTTGTCGCCATATTTATTACAACGTTTCGGCCGTTGTACGCTCCGGCCTTCTTCAGGTGGTTGGAACTGAACCAATTATTTCATTCCCTGGGGTAGACTGTTCTAGTTCCACGTGCCATGTTTAATGGAAAAAAATACAATATATAAAAAACGATATCTGTCTATAGCTCTGAGATGAGGTATTATGATTACTTGCATTATTTACGTTATTCGGACTGTTATCCTCATCTTCATTGCCATATTCACAACGTTTAGCCGTTGTACGCTCCGGCCTTCTTGTGGAAAAGACGTTGGTTAGATCCAGTGAGTAGATGCAAGGAGTTGTGAGTTCAATACCAGGCCACAGCAGTGGTGAAATAAAAACTTGGAGAGTTGAGTTAAAGGGAAATAACTGAGATATCCGGAAGAGGCATGGCACGTGGAACTAGAACACTCTACCCCGGTGGATGGAGTAAAGGGTTCGATTCGAACTTGCAATCACCTGAAGAAGGCTGGAGCTTACAACGGCCGAAACGGTGTGAATGTGGCAATGAAGATGAGGATAACAGTCCGAATAATGTAAATAATACGAGCATCAAAAAACGATAGTTAATTTTCGTTACTTTCGTGCTTACGTTGTATATTTGTCGGCGGTCACACAATCACCGGCCGTTTGAAAAAGACAGGAAACTCAATTTTGGGGGAGGCTGGTATTTATTTTGTTGTCACGTTTCTTAGGCAGACAATGGTTTATACATACATACGTAGTAAAATAGATGACACTATTTAAAGATTAAACTTACGAATTCCGGCATTTACTCCGTTTAAAATTATATTAGAAAAAGATTTAGTTTCTTTTTTATTCAGACTGGACTTTTTATATAAATATATTGTTAAAAAGAGTGATTCTCGTTGCGACTTAAAGTTTCACGCGCCTGCGTTTATTTATTTGTCGACGATCACACAATCATCAGTTGTTTGAAAAGGACAGGAAATTCAATTCTGTAATTATCAGGTCATTATGTAGCCATCAAATTTCAGAATACACACACACGCACACAAACACACACACACAAACACACACACACAGATATATAACTTTAAAGGTTATTAAAGTGGAAACTTCGTATTTGAAATAGATGTCCTATTTATTTTTATTTATTCTGCAGTGCATATTACGTCTATCAGTACGTGCATTCGATAAATCTTAATCAAATTTTCTTTACTAAAATTTCTCGAATGCGCAGGCCAAAAGACGATAAATAAAAACGGGTGTCTATTTCATATACTAAAATTACATTGAAGTAATAAAAATTTACGATTAAAAATAAATCCATTAATTCTTATATATATATATATATATATATATATATATATATATATATATTATGTATTATATATATATATATATATATATTATATGTATTATGTATATATATATATATATATATATATATATATATATATATTATGTATATATATATTATATATATTATGTATATATATATTATATATATGTGTGTGTGTGTGTTAAATACCAATAGAAATTACTTGTACACTATTTACATGATTCAGACTATTGTCCTCATCTTTGTCGCCATATTTATTACAGCGGCCTTCTTCAGGTGGTTAGAATGTCGAACTGAACCCTTTATTTCGCTCACTGGGGTAGACTGTTCTAGTTCCACGTGTCATGTTTAATGGATGTCAGTTATCAGTTATCTCCTGTTAATTCCCCTCTGAAAGTTCTCCACTGCCTTAACCGGCTATTGAACTCACACTTTTTGGGTCCCGTCACTGGATCTAACAAACGCCTTTATCCTCTGTGACATGTGTATGAATTTCTAGGTATTATATTATTTTTTAGGTTATAAACCTTTTTTTATTACCAGTGCTCATATTGCACTTTTTTTGCTGTTATCATTGTGTGTTTTTACCATAGCTCATATTGAAATTTCTGTTATTATTATCGCTTTTCTCTTTTCCACGTGCAATGTTTAATGGATGTCACTTATCCGTTATCTCCTGTTAATTCCCCTCACCAAGTTCTCCACTGCCTTAACCTTAATATTGAACACACTTACACTGGAGATAACTTATATACAACTAACTTATATACAACTAACTTATATATAACTATCCTGTCACTGGATCTAACTAACGCCTTTATCCACCGTGCCATGTGTCCTTGAGGACATCTGTGTATGAATTTCTGGGTATTATAAACCTAATGTCTTCAGCAACCATTTTTTACCAGTACTCATATTGCAATTTTTTGCTGTTATCATTCTATGTTTTTTACCAGTGCTCATATTGTAATTTTTGTTGTTATTATCGCTCTTCTCTGGCACTCCTTATTACTGGTTCCCATATTGTATTCATTTCTATGCTTTCCTGATGTTATCTGGACCGCAGATAACATCAGGACAACGTTCATTTTTTTTTTGTGTGTGTGTGTGTGTTTACTTGATTTTATATGCATTTTCTCTTTATTTATATTTATATATATATATATCTATTTTCAGGAGACCCAGTGTGGCCCGTGGCTCGAAATTAACAATGCTTAATTCCTTCTTGTCTCCAATTTTTCAATTCTTTGTAGTCATTAATATTATTACGCTGCCCATACCCGCTGTAGGTAAGACATTTATAAACTCTAAAAAAACTATTTTCTCACATTTTTAGCTTATTTAATTGACATTTTCACTTATAATACATCGATTTTAGAAAAATAATCGAGCTAACTTCTTACTTAATTTAGTACACCAGTTCAGATTTTTACATGTAGGACCCAACCTGCTATGTCCACAGAATTGAATTGCCCACATTTCTGTTATATTCCATTTGTAAGGAGGAAGGCAGCTTTTTTTCTCCAAGAACCGCTACTTTATGGAACAAACTTCCCGGTGGAGGCTTCTCAGAAAAACGTAACATTTTCAAATCAAGTCATTCATTATCTATCCTTTTAAACTTGAAATTTTTAGATAACATCTAAGTCCAATATCTCTATAAAAAGTTATGGGCTGATTTGATACTGTAGCGATATTATAAACACCTACCAACTTCTAAAATAATAAAATCATTATTTTTCTGTTCTGACAAATATTTTGCCTTGAGGAAGGGCTTAAAAATGTTAATGTACAAAAATTATTTCCCCCGGATTTTTCCTATGTTTTTACAAGTGAACCAGTCGATGGCAAGAAATGTAAGTCACCCAAAAAGGTCAGAGACATTAACAAAATCAATTCAGGCATTTTCGCTCTTTGCTGGCCTTTTCTACATTTGCTAACTTTTCCTTCCTTTGCTGACTTTTTCTTCCTTTGCTGACTTTTTCTTCCTTTGCTGATTTTTTTCTTCCTTTGCTGACTTTTTCTTCCTTTGCTGGCTTTTTCTACATTTGCTGCCTTTTTCTTCCTTTGCTGATTTTTTTCTTCCTTTGCTGACTTTTTTTTCTTTTACTGACTTTATATTTCTTTGCCGGCTTTTTCTACATTTGCTAGCATTTTCTATCTTTGCCGGCCTTTTCTTTCTTTCTTTGCTTGCCCTTTTCTACACTTGCTGGCCTTTTTCTTTCTTTGTCGGCCTTTTCTATTTTTGCCGGTTTTTCTACATTTGCTGGCCTTTTCTATCTTTGTTGGCCTTTTCTTTCATTGAAATTGAGCTGTTATTTACAAATTTCAAGTTTAAAAGGATAGATAGAGATTGACTTGATTTGAAGAGATTACGTTTGTGTTTCTTCAATACAAAGAATCTGCAATGTTATCAGTCACTTTCCTAACCTCGTAACATAGCTTCCCGGTGCATTTTCTACAAATGGTTCTGATGACATCCTTTAGAATGTAAGCGTAGTACTAGAGCTAGATGTAATCATAATATCTATACTAACAGCTTCTACTCTCGCACTTCTCGCTTGTGGAACTCTCTACCGGTTTCTTGGCTTCCTGCCGATTTTGATCTTCAGAAATTTAAATGCAATGTCAATCGTTATCTCTTGTCCATACTCTTTTATTGTCATCTCTCCGTGATGCCGTTTTTTTCGTGGATTATTTCATTCGCAATAACTCCACGTGTCTTAGTGGCTTGGGGTGACATAATTAAAAAATACCCTTCAGTTGTAACAATCACTATTTTTCTCGCATTAAAATTACTTTGCATCGCTATCTGGAATAGCGACTGGCTAACCGGCCGAGCAGACAGGTGTGCCCGGAAGCGAGTAACCAGTCATTATTAGTACTATTTATTTATACTTAACATCAAGAAGAAAGAGTTGAAATTTCTAGGACACGTAATGAGGAAAGAGAGCTTGGAAAATCCGATACTCACAGGGCAGATTGAAGGCAAGAAAGACTGAGGAAAACAACGCATAACCTACTTGACAAGCTTGAGTGAATTGTTGGACGGACAGTGATTAGGAGAGATAGAAAAAAAAGACAAAATGCACGAGGGAAGGTTTCAGAGAAAATGGTAAGAAAAGGTTATTTGTACTTAATATCAAGAAGAGAGAGTTGTACTTTTTAGGGCACATAAATCCATGTATGCATTGTTTTCCTCTGTCTTTCTTGCCTTCAATCTGCCCTGTGAGTATCGGATTTTCCAAGCTCTCTTTCCTCATTATGTGCCCTAGAAATTTCAACTCTTTCTTCTTGATGTTAAGTATAAATAAATAGCACTAATAATGGCTGGTTACTCACTTCCGGGCACACCTGTCTGCTCGGGCGATTATCCAGTCGCTATTGCAGACACCTACTCAAGAAGATTTGTGATTGTTCAAATTCCGCAGAGCCTTCCCTTTTTAAAACTGAATAATGACACCATATAAGTTAAAATGTTTGCTGGCACAATATTTTCAGTTAGAGAGTACACCTAGATTTCTTTCAGACAGGTTCAGGTAATTTATTATTCATTAGCTATTTAGTAGTATATGTCAATTTATGTTTGTGTTACTCTTAGAAATACAAGAGTCGTCTAAAAAGTTCATAGGCTGACCAAGATACTCTGAAGGAGCGTAACCAAATGAGTTTTGTCAATATAGTCCCCCTACACCTTGCAGTTCTCATACGTCCTCCATCGTTGTTGTAGCGCTTCGAGTCCATTGTTAAAGAAGCTTTTATCCTGTTAGTAAAAAGAATTAACAATAGCTGATATGACGTCATCATCAATGCGAAACTGGTTCCCAGGCAAATGTTTTTTTTTCATGTTGGGGAACAGATGGTAATCAGGTGAGGAGGACCAACCAGTTCAAAGCTACAGTCACGCACAGCAGACATTGAAAGCAAGGAGTTGTGTGCTGGAGCATTGTCCTGATGAAACAAAACCCGTTTTGGTATCTGTCTATATTTCCTCAAGGACACATAGCACAGTGGATAAAGGCGTTAGTTATATCCAGTGACAGGACTCAAAGAGTGTGAGTTCATTACCTGGTTAAGGCAGTGGAGAACTTTCAGAGGGGAATTAACAGGAGATAACTGATAACTGACATCCATTAGACATGATACGTGTAACTAGAACAGTCTACCCCAGTGAGCGAAATAAAGGGTTGTTCGACATTCCAACCACCTGAAGAAGGCCGGAGCGTACATTGGCTGAAACGTTGTAATATATATGGCGACAAAGATGAGGACAATAATCCGAATAATGTAAATAGTTTAAAACCAGTTTTGTCAGTTTTCCTAGGCATTTGGTTTTGATAGTCTTTCGTAACTGTTTCTGCGAATTAGAATAGTACTCTCCATTGATGGCGTGGTTCTTTTTTAAGGTAGTCAATAAATTTAATGCCTTTTGCGTCCCCAAAAACTGAGACCATCACCTACTTTGCAGATGAAACTAGTTTCGCCGTCTTTGGAGCAGGTGTTTAGGAGCGGTGTTTCCACGGCATGGTTTGTCTTTTTGTCTCTGACTGAAAGGAATAAGTTCACCACTCATTTTGGGTTAGGAAACGTTCATGGAAACCAGTTGGATCTGCTTCAGACAATTTCAGTCTGATGCACTTTTGATCCGGTGTCAGAAAACCTGGGACCCACCAAGCGGAAGCCTTCGTCATGCCAAATTCATTGGGTAAAATAAGTTCAACTCTCTCACGAGATATAACAACAGTATTGGCTATTTGATTTATAGTGAATCGCCTGTCACCCGTCACCATGTGTTGAAAATATCGATCAATGTTTTCCTAGATGATGGCAATTGCAAGTCGTCTACACCTTGGATCATCTTCATCTCCCCTCCCCGCTAAATTCAGCTGCCTACTTTTGCACTGTTGATATAGCTGGAGTGTCATCTCCTAATGTAGCAAGCCTCTTTTTCTGCATCTACTTGCTGGGGAGAAGATACGATGGATTAATGGATAGCGGCTCGGATTGAGGAATCGGAGTGCCGAGTTCGAATTCCAATTGAAGCCATTACATTCATTTACGTGCTAATACCCTTGAGAAAGGTATGAATTCTCTTCTTCTCCCCACCAGCTATGGGTAAATAACAGGATAGAGATGGTTCTATAGCCTTGGATGGTAACTGGTCTACCGCAGAAAAAATGGTAACCTACCGAGGGAAAAAAATTGCCTCGTCAGTCATGTATTGAAAGATACATGATCGCCTAAGCGTGTATCACGCATGGCACATAACTGACTGACTTGATTACACCATAATGCCAAATTTTGTCCATTTTCAAGGGAAGTCGCTACAAGATAGTTTCGAAGTCTTCTTTGACCAGAAGGTCAGTTTACTTGGAAAGAAACAATGCCGCTATTAATTAGGAGAGTTGAAATGAATGCATGCAAGATGTCACACTTCTAACATCACTACTTCATTTTCAGCTTATGAAATTTTCAGCACCCCCCACGTAGCCTATCAACTTCTTATTTCTCTTTACGTTGTATTATAAGACTCTCTATATTACTGTTTCGTGTAGCACTGCATTTTTAGCAACATATCTCGAGCACTAACCGAAGTCTTACTGTAATGTCTTATTAGCAATTATAGTTGTTTTGTTTCTTTTTTATATTTCATCTGAAAAAAAAAATAGCAAACGAAGTATGATCAGATTTTAAAACCTCTTTGACTTTTGAGAAATGAATACATTTAAAACTTTTACTTTTTTTCAATTTCCAGGTGTACTATGGAAAACCAAGCTCCAGAATGTTCCCAAAATGTTTCTAGAGGCACCGGCCAACATCAACGCTCACAATTATTCCATGATACTGAATTACCCAAATCTTTGCGACAGCAAAGAGCAAGTATTCTTGTTGATTCTGGTTCGTAGTATTCCAGAGAATGTTCTCCGGCGTCAAATTATCCGGAGTACATGGGGTAATGTCAAGTCCGTGAAAAATGAAACAATCAAAGTCGCTTTTCTGTTTGGCAACAATAACCAAAATTCAAACAAAATACTCAAAGAGGAACAGATTAAGTATAAGGACATTCTCCAAGAGACATTCCAAGAATCGTACGCATCTCTTCATTTGAAAACTGTAATGGCCTGGAAATGGGCCTTGAAATTTTGTTCACAAAGTTTGTTTTTTATTGTGTGCAATGACGAGATATTTGTTGATATCTTCCAAACAGTATCTTACTTAAACGGAATTATAGAAACCAAACAGCATAAGGACTTTTATGCTTGCAGTATGGAGCGAGAGGCTATTATTCCTTCAAGAAACCTTAAGCATAAACACGGTGTTTCATGGACAGATTATCCCGGAACTTATTACCCAGCGTTTTGCAATGGCAACGGATACCTGGCCTCAAAGTTAATAATTCGCAAATTTTATGAAGTTGCCCTTAATACTCCGCCTTTTATGCCTGATGACGCGTGGTGTGGTGTTTTGGCGGCCAAGTTGTCTCTTGTGATTTCAAATATTCAGGAGAAAATCCCGATCTCCACTAAGTCAAAAATAATTGAATATTATTTGAGCCCAGATCAATATGCTAAAAACCAAATAATTTTCTTCCCATTGGATCGAAAATTTTCCAGCTGTGAAATATGTGTTGCCTATTACTTGTGGCAAAAAATCATCCTTTATAACAGTTACGAGTCCCAATTACAAAACAGGGTAGACTTTCAACAAGAAAAAGTTTATATCGTCCCAAGGGTGTTGAAAAATAACTTAATTTATGTTTCTTTCCTCATTAACGTTGTCATATTAGCAAGCTTGTATTTTTTAAAGAAAAACAGTTTGCCACTATTTTTAACGGTATTAAATCTATTATTTCTTATTATCTTAATCCAGAATAAATTTTAACTTCACCTACAATTTTAAAGATCGCTTTTGATTTCATCACACACTTTGAAATGCCTCTGATTACCAAATTTAGATTTTCCAACCACAATTTACTACTTCCGAATTGCAAAACTGATTCTTTGAACATCTTGAATCTCTTCAGTTAAAATTTGATATTAAGAACATTTACCTGATGTAAATCAATAAGTCCATATCTTCATATTACCTTAATTTATTTGAACATATATCGTTAAATATAACAGACAATGAATGTCTATTATGTCTGATCATAAGCTGTTCTAAACTTGGTATGGTTGATTTAATTTCAAGTGGAAACAAAGACAAAAAATGTCCAACATTTGGATATTTTTTATTAAGTTAGTCCTTTCGGCTCACATGAACCATCTTCAGAGTAGCTATATTTAAATGGATATTTAAACAAAGATATTCACCATCAGAGATGATATTCTGTTATGTTGACATAGAAGATTAATATGCGTTGATAACGGTCGTGGAATAGCAGACGCAGCTCGTAAATTTATGATGCGGTTCTATAACGTCATACCACGCGAAATATTAACAACAGAACCGTATGTCTAGATACAATGTGATGCGTTGTGACTAGTTTGAAATGTAATTTTGTCGAGTCTGGGTTGCTTTGCTTAAATGAAGATGGCCTCCAATATCTGAAGGTTCTTTTTACTATGTGTATGTGTGAGTATTGTTGTCTTAACTAATATCTGTCTAATATTATGTACATGGCTATGTTTTTCAAGAAAGGTTGTTTAATAGAACTAAGATCTGAAAGGTAACAGGTAAGTCTACGGGAGAGTGTGGTTGTAGTAAAACCAATATATGTTGTGGGTTTATTATTAGGACCATAGATACAATCTCTGAACAGACATGTAAATTGATACAGTACACTGGTTTTTGTACAGAATTTAGTCGTGTGGTTGTAGGGTTATAAGAGAATATGCAGTCAATTGTTTTATATTTTTTATAATATATGATGAGCTTAACTTGTTTATTATTATTAATAATGGGTTTAACATTTCTACCTATTATGTTTTGTTCATATTACCTTAAATATGATCTGAAATTTTCGCTAGATAATTTTCATCTATGTGATTAACTTTAATCACACAACTATATTGGAAGAAGGTGATTATGTTGAAAAATATTTGTGTACACTAAATAAATTTTTTCATCACCGGCTACAAACCTACCGATATAGCTATTGGACCTACATATAATAGGATTACTTGGGTTAATTTCCTGTTTTTTCATGAGAAATTGACGTGTCTGGGTTTTAACGTTACTTTTGGATTTTCCTAGCATTACTTTTTTTGTTTATAAATGCAGTTTTCTTCATTTTAATTCGGTACCAAATATTATTTTACATCACACCAACGCAAATCTGTATTTCCCGATTTCAAAGACGCTACATTTTTCCTAAAAATCTGCGAACATATTTCGCATCTATCAAACCGAACATTAAGAAAATTCTGGAGTCTTATAGACATGCAGAGCAAATCACTTGCCTTAATGTTTAAACATCTTCTCAAAAGAAATTTAAGTGTGGTATTTTGCGTTCCTAATATAAAAAAAAACAAGCAAACAAAAAAACAAAAAAACAGGATACTATAGATAAAGATTAACGTGAAGTGATATGCATATGGCTTCACGTTAATCTATATACATAACAAAGAGAGCAGCTATATTATGAGTCACAATGTATTGATTATGGCTTCACATTTTTCTGTATCCATAATTACGAAAAAACGTTATGAACTGTTTATCATTGATTTAATAAAGGTTATTGTTTTAACGAATGTATAGTTTAATTAACATTTGTTGATTATCTGGAAAAGGAGTCAATTATTTTCAATATTATCTTAGGGGTTCAGTTATTTTTTGAGCAGGTTTATATATATATATATATATATATATATATATATATATATATATATATATAATATAATATAATATAATATAAAATCAAACACTAATATTCCTTAATAATTTATTACAATGGAATCGTAATTACGATCAATTCATCAGACCTACAAATTCAAAAGAAAATGTAGGTCTGATGAATTATAAATCATTCAATGAATAAATTATAACCATAAATATTTGTTTGAGCCTTATATTATATTCTTTCTCTGTCCTGGACATTGAGTTCTACCTGGACTCCTCTTGGGAATTTATTTATATATATATATATATATATATATATATATATATATATATATATATATATATATATATATATATAACCCATAAGTATAACATACCTTAAAACTATATTTTATCACATTATACATAGATACACATGCACACACACACACATATATATATATATATATATATATATATATATATATATATATATAAGAAAATAGACATCGCAACTCATTCCAATAACAGTGAATTACTTAACGAAAGATCAGAAATAATGGCAAAATGCAGACAGTTGGAGAATTATGTGCCAAGATAAGCTACACAGATCATTATATTTCTTTTCTTTATTTTTTTCATTTATTTTTATTTATTTATTTTTGTTGTTTTTCTTCATAGTCATCCTCCTCCTAAGTAGTGACTGACTATATATACGTTGTCAACAGCCAATGCGCTGGAGGTACTGACTGATGATACCTATATGGTTGAAATCACGGTTTCATACCTTTAGCGTCTTAGTTTTCAAGGATATATATATATATATATATATATATATATATATATATATATATATATATATATATATATATGAGGGGAAGGAGGAGGAGAGAGTAGGGTAGATAGATAAAGGAATAGCGCCTTGGAATGAGAAATCGGAGATCTTTGTTCGAATTCTATACATTCACTTACGTGTAAATACCCTTGGATAGGTATGATTCCATTTTCTCTTCTCCAATCTATGCGTAAATACCAGGCCACTGGGTCATATGAGCTTGTTTGACAAGTTCTAGGAGAAGGAAAACTCTGAATACAATCTAATCTGATGATCCATCAGAATATCTTTCCCTAGACATACCTCTTATGCTACGGTTACAGTGTTTGTGGCAGCAGAGATTATGGGACATGATAGATAGATATGAACAGACTGGGATATATATATGAACAGACTGAGATAGATAGATAGATACATACATACATACATTTGAAGAGACTGGGAACATAGATAGATAGATAGATAGATAGATAGATAGATAGATAGATAGATAGATATAAACTGTCATGGTATATATATATATATATATATATATATATATATATATGTGTGTGTGTGTGTGTGTGTGTGGAGAGATAGATAGATAGGTAGGTAGATTGATAGATATTACTCAAAGTATTCTAACATAATTAATATTATTCAATAATTAGATCATTTTACATTGGACATTTCAGCTTGTCAATCTCTTAAGATAGGTACCTCCATGTGATCACTAAAAAAAGAGCATAGCATGATGAAAAAGACGCCAAATTTGACGAAAACAAAAATTTATCGTCCAAATGTTTATATTATTATTAAGAGGAAAGATCAAAATTCATTTTAATTTTTAAAAAAATGTTTTCTTTCTTTTAGAACATTCTAAATTTTGATTAAAAAAAACCTTGTTTCTCTTTGTATCACCGGAATTAGTAAAATAACATATACAATTTTTAGGACTTTTTTTTTTTGCGTGTGTGTGTGTGTGTGTGTGTGTGTGTGTGTGTGTGTGTGTGTGTGTGTGTGTGTGACTCACATTAATTTTGAAAATTTTGCAAAAATAAAAATAATTGTCGGATGTTAATGAAACTTTCAGAAACTATTCACAGATGATCGAAATTATTATAAATATGTTTTTTTTTTATTAAAGTCATGACAGAAATATTTTGTTTTCGTCAATTTTGACGTCTTTTTCATCATGCTATGCTCTTTTTTTAGCGATTTTGTGGAGGTACCTATCTTAAGACATCTCTTGAATCGTTTATAATTTTATGTCTGTCTCGACATCCATACTATGAAATAGGCAATATTATCATCAAGAAATTCCTGTACAAAATCGGAGAGAGTAACAACTTCAAACGCAAACGGTTTTTATGCTAATCCAAATCGTTTAGACTTCAAATCAAAAGGAACACAACGGGAAAAAGGCACACATGTTCTTATTACTAATCCTTTTCATTGTCATTAGCCTTCGCCTATCTTATTTCCAAGGACAAATTGTACAAAGTCGTCGGCCTTTCTCCCTTCTTCAAACAAGAGGCTGTTTGAGTCTCCCCACCCCCAACTAGTGGACAGGCATCTCAAAATTCCACCATCAATGTTTAAAGGCCTTCAGAAATCCACATAGGCGTTCTGTACACAAAGTAAATTGCTTTACGCACAAACATTGAAATCTCCAAAATCTTCTGTCTACCTCAGTTGTAATCTATTTTTTGTCTGTCTTTTTTGTGTCTCTATCTTGATCTATCTATCTATCTATCTATCTATCTATCTATCTATCTATCTATCTATATTATGTCTTTCTGTTTGTCTATATCAGTCTGTTCATATCTATCTATTTATCTATCTCAATCTGTTCATATTTAGCTAGCTAGCTAGCTGAGTTTTTTCAGGTAACAATGAACGGTTGCACTCTAAAAGAGGATCCATAAACGTTCAAGTCTCAAGTCAACCTGGGCTTCAAGTGGAACACATATATCCGATCCATTGCTGAAGATGCTGGGAAAATGCTCGGCTCATTCTATTGCCCCTGGAAGTAGCTGGTTCCTCCTACCATGCGTTATATTTACAAAGGTCAGATAAGACCAAAAATGGAGAATTGCTGTCATATATGGCCTGGAGCTGCTCCATCTTTCCTTTAAAGTCTTGATAGCTTTCAAAATTCTTAACGTGGTCTTGTGCGTGAATCGTTATTTCCCACTCTACAGCCTCTTTCCACACGTTGCTGATCTCTTCCATGTCAAAATGTTCAGATGAGCTTCACTCTTCCACCAGTTCGGCCCTTTACTGCAAGGTCACATCGTACCATAACCACAGAGTCGAATCACCCTCATTTCCTCCGTATTCCATGAGTAGGAAATATTACCCCGAAAGATTCTTCCTCGGCAGAACAACAATATGAATTCATTTTGTATTTATATTGCATAATTTTAATTATAATTATTAATTTTTTTAATTTATAATATTAAATGGTTGAATTAACACTGTTTAAAAAGAAATAAAAAAAATAAGAAAAATATTTTGAACTGAAACAGACTTGTTAACTTTATTGAAAATTCTAGAACTGAGTAGAAACTTGCACATTTTAATTTTTTTAACACCAGTAAAATAAATTTACATCATACTTAGGTGTTATTATAGATTTTAGTTTTACTGATACTTTAAAATCAGTAAATATTTATATATTTTTAGCATTATCACCAGGAATGGAAAATTAAATTTTGAGCCCCCCACCACCACCACCACCAAAAAAAAAAATCCAAAGAATCGTTTTTAGAATTGGAATTGGAAAATAGGTTAAAAATTTCTATTATGATAAGTTCGTTAGCCCAAAACGTTACGATATTTTCGATTTTCGATTTCGATTCTGATCAACCGTCCCATCAGTAATTCCATCATCAGATGATATTTTAAATGTGTATTTCACTTGATGAAAACTGAACGCCTATCATGCAGAAATATGATGGAGGGGGGAACAAATACAGTGAAAATCCATATAAGTCCTCAGTTGAAAAGAACAATGAAAGATCCTGAAACAAAGATTATCTTCATCACCAAAGCATATTTAGTGCCTATTTTTCAAATAATTGTGTAAATGTTAAATTTGTTAGCATGAATTTGATGAAATTAAAGACTGATCTCCTAAAGGCTGTGTATTCATTGTAGGCTCTTTATTTCTTATTAAAAAAAGATTAAAACAGTGAGAAAAGAAAACAGCTACTTTTTGGTTATTTGTCAAGAAAGATGCATAATCAGAATGTTATGAAAATCACCAATGTAATAGGTAAGCTGAAAACCTTCTCTACAGACAATAAGTTAATACCTACAGAAAGCCTAAATGAGGAATTCGGCTCCTAAGAAAACATCCGTTGAAACAATGTATTTATTGCATCAGAACTTATTTGAATATCTTAGACCAAATTTAATTTAAATATCTGAATAGGATTTCATAAAAACCTTTTTTTTTACTTTATTATTATTGCAACAGGCTTTGGCATAACATTAGACTACGTTTTTGTAAAGATTTACAAGTTAATACACAAGAGGAGTGTGCTTTTGTGTGCTGTGTACCTTCAGAATATGTGCTATCATGGCCTCCACGAGTTCCAACTCTTTTCCTCCTATTCAACGTTTTGTTATCCATTTACACAGGCTCGGTAGGTCGGTTATTTGCTGTTTTTCGCTGTTCCTTTTGCCTTCAGCATGTCCTATGAGTGTCCAATTTTCCAAACCCTTTTTCCTCAGTATGTGACCTTAAAAAGTCAACTGTCTCTTTCTGATTTTAATTATAAATGTCCTTTTTGTTTCCATTATCTTTAAAAATTAGTCATTGTTCACGTGTTCGATCTATACATTAGTAATAATGTATATTAGTAATAATGTACATTAGTAATAATATACGTTGTAATAATATACATTAGTAATAATGTACATTACTAATAATATACATTAATAATAATGTACATGAGTAATAATATACGTTAGAAATAATATATATTAGTAATAATGTACATTAATAATAATCTACATGAGTAATAATATACATTAGTAATAATGTACATTAGTAATAATATACATTAATAATATTGTACATGAGTAATAATAATGTACACGAGTAATAATATACGTTAGTAATAATATACATTAGTAATAATGTGCATTAGTAATAACGTACATGAGTAATATGCATTAGTAATAATAGACATTAATCATAATGTACGTTAGTAATAATATACGTTAGTAATAATATACATTAGTAATAATGTACATTCGTAATAATATACATTACTAAAGATATAAACTAATAATAATGTACATTAGTAATAATCAGACTATATTCTTAAATAATGTTTCATAGTCATCTCTTTAGGAAAAAATGAAAAGTTCTCTATCAACAATCGAAGGTAGAAGGATGTAACTTTTGGTTTAATTTGAGTGATATCGAGTGATAAATTTTTTAGAATTGTTGTGTACTTTGTGTACTAGTGAGCTAGCCAAAATGAGCTGACTCATTCTATAGTCCACCAAGAGAAGTCCTAACCAATCAGAAAGCTCAAAATATTCAATCTGACGTGTATAAAGGCAGCCATTTTGTATTTTCTCCCAAAATATCTTCACTGCCAACCTCTGATATTGAACACATTACAGACTTACCTGGATTCTATATTCAGAGACTACGGCAAACATGGTTAACAAAATTCTGCGTCTTTCTGGTGTTATGTATTTCTTGCCCTATATAGCTCTTAATAATTTTTGTTTTTTGTTATTTTTCCTAAACCTTGTTCCATTTACTCAAGCTTGGCATGTTATGCGTTGTTTTCCTCTGTCTTTCTTTCCTTTAATCTCTCCTGTGAGTATCAAAATTTCCAGGCCCTCTTTCCAGATTATGTCTCTTCCTAATGTTAAGTATAAGTTTCCTTTTTATTTCCATTTTCTCTAAACTATCGTCGTTGTTCATATTTATATTACTTCAATCTGTAGAGAGATTGTCCATCATTCATATATTACGCGACAGTTCAGTACCCTTTGTTTCGAATGACATTTTCCTGTTTCTTAATGCTTTGCTTAGCTTTTGAAAGACAAACATCAGATGTAAAAGTTCCTTTCTGTACGTTTATGCGGAAATCATTCCTCTGGCTTTGGAATTATTTTAACGGCTTGTAAACGACGTACTAGAGTTGGCCAGACGAACTAAGCCAACGTCAAAGACACTTCTAAAGTTTCCCTAAGATTTTAAGATTGATTGATTTGTTTATGCCTTATCAATCTTTCGCTGGTTATTTAAAAACAGAAAATATTTTTAGATTTTAGAATTTATTGGAATTTATATACTGATATAAGTCCTACTATTTAACCCATAGCTGGTAGGTAAAATGTGTATTTATACATTTCCAAAGGGTGTTTGCGCGTAAGAGGATATAACGAACCCGACTGGTTTTGGAAGACGACTCTCCGATTTTCAGTTCCGAGGTTTATCCATTACATCACCCGTTGGCTTATAGTACCTCTTTCGGTTCTGGCCAGACTTACGGTCACCCAACTAGCTATGGACCAAACTCGACGTTGCTTTACTTCAGTGATCGTATGATAACCGCTATGACACAGCGATATTATGCGAAGGGTGGGAAAGTTTGCATCGTTAATAGCTTGGATGAAATGCCATTTTTTTTTTGTGAACAACACCGTGTTAGAGGCAAAATTTGTTTTATCACAGAAAATTCCTAGTAACCATGCTATCACCGACACGTACACAGAGAGAAGCAGACACGGTACGAGAGTATATATTGGCATCCATTCTATGTTTGTAGAGTATGTGGTGTGTTTGTACGGGAGTCAATGTGCGTATTTGTGAGATCAAATATGTAATCAGTTCTTTGCAGAGAAAACAAATCAAACTGTTTAGTTACTGTTTTTAAAACCTTTTAAGTTGAGAAGCGGATATAGGGGACAAAGAAAAGAACAACGCTAAGGGTTGTTAAGGATTTTTTTTTTTTATTCCTTATTATCAAAAGACACATTTTTTCTTGACCAGTTAGGAATGAATGAACAGTTCTTCCGTCAAACAGTGAAATTTGGCTGAGAAAAGAGTAAAAAACACTAAAACCTTTGCAGCAATGAATCTCTAAGGAAACAATTGACAACGAAAATTCGACAAAAACCCGAGGAAAACTTGGAACAAGAATCAAAAGGTACGAATAAAAATGATTTCTCCTTTATTTTCGTACTATCTTTGTCTGATTCATTCGCTTTCTACACTCTATGTTGTATTGTGGCCATTTTTCATTGTCTACTTTATAAATCATACACAGTCATCCATTTGCTTTTCATTATTGCGAATGCTCGAGGTTTCTATTTGATTTCATTCATCACTTATTCTTTCACTTTTCAGTCATTTCTCTTTTACCACATTCATCATTTTTATCTTCCTTGCTTCCTCTTTGATTTCATTGATTTTACAGTAATTTCTATTTTACTGCCTCATTCCTTACTCTTTCCTTCCTCTTTGATTTCATTCTTCATTTATTTTTTCATATTTTGGCATTTCTTTTTTACCGCTTCCTTCGATTTTCCTGCCTTCCTCTTTAAATTCATTTTCATTTATTCTTTCACTTTTCAGTCATTTCTGTATTTAAGAGATTCTTCCTTTTTTCCTGTCTTCCTCTATGATTTCATTCTTCATTTATTGTTTCAGGTTTCAGTCATTTCTTTATTTATCGCTTATTTCCTTTTTCCCGCCTTGCTCTTTAAATTCATTCATCATTTATTCTTTCATAATTCAGTCGTTTCGTGTTTACTGCTTCATTCCATTTTCCGTCTTCCTCTTGGAATTAATTCATCATTTATTCTTTCACATTTCACTCATTTCGTTTTTACTGCTTCTTTCCATTTTACACCTTCCGCTTTGCGTTCATTCATCATGTATTCATTCACATTTCACTCATTTCCTTTTTAAAGCTTCTTTCCATTTTCCGCCTTCCTCTTTGACTTCATTCATCATGTATTCTTTCACATTTTACTCATTTCGTTTTTACTGCTTCTTTCCATTTTGCGCCTTCCTCTTTGACTTCATTAATCATTTATTCTTTCATATTTCAGTCGTTTCGTGTTTACTGCTTCTTTCCATTTTCCGCCTTCCGCTTTCACTTCATTCGTCAAGTATTCTTTCACATTTTACTCATTTCGTTTTTACTGCTTGTTTCCATTTTCCGCCTTCCGCTTTGACTTCATTCATCATGTATTCTTTCACTCTTCACTCATTTCATTTTTACTGCTTCTTTCCATTTTACAGCTACCGCTTTGACATCATTCATTATTTATTCTTTCACATTTCACTCATTTCATTTTTACTGCTACTTTCCATTTTCCGCCTTCCGCTTTGACTTCATTCATCATGTATTCTTTCACATTTCACTCATTTCATTTTTACTGCTACTTTCCATTTTCCGTCTTCCGCTTTGACTTCATTCGTCAGGTATTCTTTCACATTTCGCTCATTTCGTTTTACTGCTACTTTCCATTTTCCGCCTTCCGCTTTGACTTCATTCATCCTGTAATCTTTCACATTGCGCTCATTTGGTTTTTACTTCCTCTATCCATTTTTCACCTTCCGCTTTGACTTCATTCATCGTGTATTCTTTCACATTTCACTCATTTGGTTTTTACTGCTTCTTTCCATTTTCCGCCTTCCGCTTTGACTTTATTCATCGTGTATTCTTTCACATGTTACTCATTTCGTTTTTACTGCGTCTTTCCATTTTCCGCCTTCCGCTTTGACTTCATTCATCGTGTATTCTTTCACATTTCACTCATTTCGTTTTTACTGCTTCTTTCCATTTTCCGCCTTTCGCTTTGACTTCATTCATCATGTTTTCTTTGACATTTCACTCATTTCGTTTTTACTGCTTCTTTCCATTTTCCGCCTTCCGCTTTGACTTCATTCATCATGTATTCTTTCAGATTTCACTCATTGGGTTTTTACTGCCTCTTTCCATTTTTCGCCATCCGCTTTAACTTCATTCATCATGTATTTTTTTACATTTCACTCATTTCCTTTTTACTGCTTCTTTCCATTTTCCGCCTTCCGCTTGGAGTTCATTCATCAAGTATTCTTTCACATTTCACTCATTTCGTTTTTACTGCTTCTTTCCATTTTCCGCCTTCCGCTTTGACTTTATTCATCGAGTATTCTGTCACATTTCACACATTTCGTTTTTACTGCTTCTTTCAATTTTCCGCCTTCCGCTTCGAATTCATTCATCGTGTATTCTTTCACATTTCACTCATTTGGTTTTTACTGCTTCTTTCCATTTTCCGCCTTCCGGTTTGACTTCATTCATCATGTATTCTTTCACATTTCACTCATTTCATTTTTACTGCTACTTTCCATTTTCCACCATCCGCTTTGACTTCATTCATCATGTTTTCTTTGACATTTCACTCATTTGGTCTTTACTGCTTCTTTCCATTTTCCGCCTTCCGCTTTGACTTCATTCATCATGTTTTCTTTGACATTTCACTCATTTGGTTTTTACTGCTTCTTTCCATTTTCCGCCTTCCGCTTTGACTTTATTCATCGTGTATTCTTTGACATTTCACACATTTGGTTTTTATTGCTTATTTCCATTTTCCGCCTTCCGCTTCGAATTCATTCATCGTGTATTCTTTCAAATTTCACTCATTTGGTTTTTACTGCTTCTTACCATTTTCCGCCTTCCGCTTTGACTTTATTCATCGTGTATTCTTTGACATTTCACTCATTTGGTCTTTTCCGCCTTCCGCTTTGACTTTCCATTTTGTTTTCCTTTTCACTCATTTGGTTTTTACTGCCTTTTCCATTTTCGCCTTCCTTCATTCATCGTGTATTCTTTGACATTTCACTCTGCTTCTTTCCATTTTCCGGTTTTTCATTCATCATGTTTTCTTTTGACCTCTTTTGGTTTTTACCATTTTTTTCGCCTTCCGCTTTGAGATCATTCATCGTGTATTCTTTGACATTTCACTCATTTAGTTTTTACTGCTTCTTTCCATTTTCCGCCTTCCGCTTTGACTTCATTCATGATGTTTTCTTTGACATTTCACTCATTTGGTTTTTACTGCTTCTTTCCATTTTCCGCCTTCCGCTTTGACTTCATTCGTCAGATATTCTTTCACATTTCACTCATTTCATTTTTACTGCTACTTTCCATTTTCCGTCTTCCACTTTGGCTTCATTCTTCAGGTATTCTTTGACATTTCACTCATTTGGTTTTACTGACTCTTTCCATTTTTCGCCTTCCGCTTTGACTTCATTCATCATGTTTTCTTTGACATTTCACTCATTTGGGTTTTACTGCTTCTTTCCATTTTCCGCCTTCCGCTTTGACGTCATTCGTCAGGTAATCTTTCACATTTCACTCATTTGGTTTTTACTGCCTCTCTCCATTTTTCGCCTTCCGCTTTGACTTCATTCATCATGTATTTTTTCACATTTCACTCATTTGGTATTTACTGCTTCTTTCCATTTTCCACCTTCCGCTTGGAGTTCATTCATCAAGAATTCTTTGACATTTCACTCATTTGGTTTTTACTGCTTCTTTCCATTTTCCGCCTTCCGCTTTGATTTATTCATCGTGTATTCTTTGACATTTCACTCATTTGGTTTTTATTGCTTGTTTCCATTTTCCGCCTTCCGCTTTGACTTTATTCATCGTGTGTTCTTTCACATTTCACACATTTCGTTTTTACTGCTTCATTCCATTTTCCGCCTTCCGCTTCGAATTCATTCATCATGTATTCTTTCACATTTCACTCATTTGGTTTTTCCTGCTTCTTTCCATTTTCCGCCTTCCGCTTTCACTTTATTCATCGTGTATTCTTTCACATTTGACTAATTTGGTTTTTACTGCTTCTTTCCATTTTCCGCCTTCCGCCTTGATTTCATTCATCATGTATTCTTTCACATTTCACTCATTTCATTTTTACTGCTACTTTCCATTTTCCGCCTTCCGCTTTGACTTCATTCATCATGTTTTCTTTGACATTTCACTCATTTGGTTTTTACTGCTTCTTTCCATTTTCCGCCTTCCGCTTTGACTTCATTCGTCAGATATTCTTTCACATTTCACTCATTTCATTTTTACTGCTACTTTCCATTTTCCGCCTTCCACTTTGGCTTCATTCTTCAGGTATTCTTTGACATTTCACTCATTTTGTTTTTACTGCATCTTTCCATTTTCCGCCTTCCGCTTTGACTTTATTCATCATGTATTCTTTGACATTTCACTCATTTGGTTTTTACTGCTACTTTCCATTTTCCGCCTTCCGCTTTGACTTCATTCATCATGTATTCTTTCACATTTCATTCATTTGGTTTTTACTGTTACTTTCCATTTTCCGCCTTCAGCTTTGACTTCATTCATCCTGTATTCTTTGACATTTCACTCATTTCGTTTTTACGGCTTCTTTCCATTTTCCGCCTTCCGCTTTGACTTTATTCATCATGTATTCTTAGACATTTCACTCATTTGGTTTTTATTGCTTCTTTCCATTTTCCGCCTTCCGCTTTGACTTCATTCATCATGTATTCTTTCACATTTCATTCATTTGGTTTTTACTGTTACTTTCCATTTTCCGCCTTCCGCTTTGACTTCATTCATCCTGTAATCTTTGACATTTCACTCATTTCGTTTTTACGGCTTCTTTCCATTTTCCGCCTTCCGCTTTGACTTTATTCATCATGTATTCTTTGACATTTCACTCATTTGGTTTTTATTGCTTCTTTCCATTTTCCGCCTTCCGCTTTGACTTCATTCATCATGTATTCTTTCACATTTCATTCATTTGGTTTTTACTGCTTCTTTCCATTTTCGGCCTTCCGCTTTGACTTCATTCATCATGTATTCTTTCACATTTCATTCATTTGGTTTTTACTGCTACTTTCCATTTTCCGCCTTCCGCTTTGACTTCATTCATCCTGTAATCTTTGACATTTCACTCATTTCGTTTTTACCGATTCTTTCCATTTTCCGCCTTCCGCTTTGACTTTATTCATCATGTATTCTTTGATATTTCACTCATTTGGTTTTTACTGCTTCTTTCCATTTTCCGTCTTCCGCTTTGACTTCATTCTTCAGGTATTCTTTCATATTTCACTCATTTCATTTTTACTGCCACTTTATATTTTCCGGCTTCCGCTTTGACTTCATTCATCGTGTATTCTTTCACATTTCCCTCATTTGGTTTTTACTGCTTCTTTCCAATTTCGGCCTTCCGCTTTGACTTCATTCATCATGTATTCTTTAACATTTCATTCATTTGGTTTTTATTGCTTCTTTCCATTTTCCGCCTTCCGCTTTGACTTCATTCATCATGTATTCTTTCACATTTCATTCATTTGGTTTTTACTGCTACTTTCCATTTTCCGCCTTCCGCTTTGACTTCATTCATCATGTATTCTTTAACATTTCATTCATTTGGTTTTTACTGCTTCTTTCCATTTTCGGCCTTCCGCTTTGACTTCATTCATCATGTATTCTTTAACATTTCATTCATTTGGTTTTTACTGCTTCTTTCCATTTTCGGCCTTCCGCTTTGACTTCATTCATCATGTATTCTTTAACATTTCATTCATTTGGTTTTTACTGCTACTTTCCATTTTCCGCCTTCCGCTTTGACTTCATTCATCCTGTAATCTTTGACATTTCACTCATTTCGTTTTTACGGCTTCTTTCCATTTTCCGTCTTCCGCTTTGACTTCATTCGTCAGGTATTCTTTCATATTTCACTCATTTCATTTTTACTGCCACTTTACATTTTCCGGCTTCCGCTTTGACTTCATTCATCATGTATTCTTTGACATTTCACTCATTTGGTTTTTACTGCTTCTTTCCATTTTCCGCCTTCCGCTTTGACTTCATTCATCATGTTTTCTTTGACATTTCCCTCATTTGGTTTTTACTGCTTCTTTCCATTTTCCGCCTTCCGCTTTGACTTCATTCATCATGTATTCTTTAACATTTCATTCATTTGGTTTTTATTGCTTCTTTCCATTTTCCGCCTTCCGCTTTGACTTCATTCATCATGTTTTCTTTGACATTTCACTCATTTGGTTTTTATTGCTTCTTTCCATTTTCCGCCTTCCGCTTTGACTTCATTCATCATGTATTCTTTCACATTTCATTCATTTGGTTTTTACTGCTTCTTTCCATTTTCGGCCTTCCGCTTTGACTTCATTCATCATGTATTCTTTAACATTTCATTCATTTGGTTTTTACTGCTACTTTCCATTTTCCGCCTTCCGCTTTGACTTCATTCATCCTGTAATCTTTGACATTTCACTCATTTCGTTTTTACGGCTTCTTTCCATTTTCCGTCTTCCGCTTTGACTTCATTCGTCAGGTATTCTTTCATATTTCACTCATTTCATTTTTACTGCCACTTTACATTTTCCGGCTTCCGCTTTGACTTCATTCATCATGTTTTCTTTGACATTTCACTCATTTGGTTTTTACTGCTTCTTTCCATTTTCTGCCTTCCGCTTTGACTTCATTCATCGTGTATTCTTTCACATTTCACTCATTTGGTTTTTATTGCTTCTTTCCATTTTCCGCCATCCGCTTTCACTTTCTTCATCGTCTATTTTTTCACATTTCACTCATTTCGTTTTTACTGCTTCTTTCCATTTTCTGCCTTCTGCTTTGACTTCATTCATCGTGTATTCTTTCACATTTCACTCATTTGGTTTTTACTGCTTCTTTCCATTTTCCGCCTTCCGCTTGGAGTTCATTCATCAGGCATTCTTTCACATTTCACTCATTTCGTTTTTACTGATACTTTCCATTTTCCGCCTTCCGTTTTGATTTTATTCATCGTGTATTCTTTCACATTTCACTCATTTCGTTTTTACTGCTTCTTTCCATTTTCCGGCTTCCGCTTTGACTTCATTCATCATGTTTTCTTTGACTTTTCACTCATTTGGTTTTTACTGCTACTTTCCATTTTCCGCCTTCCGCTTTGACTTCATTCGTCAGGTATTCTTTCACATTTCGCTCATTTCGTTTTACTGCTTCTTTCCATTTTCCGCCTTCCGCTTTGACTTTATTCATCGTGTATTCTTTCACATTTCACTCATTTGGTTTTTACTGCTTCTTTCCATTTTCGGCCTTCCGCTTTGACTTCATTCATCATGTATTCTTTGAAATTTCACTCATTTGGTTTTTATTGCTTCTTTCCATTTTCCGCCTTCCGCTTTGACTTTCTTCATCGTCTATTCTTTCACATTTCACTCATTTCGTTTTTACTGCTTCTTTCCATTTTCTGCCTTCCGCTTTGACTTCATTCATCGTGTATTCTTTCACATTTCACTCATTTGGTTTTTACTGCTTCTTTCCATTTTCCACCTTCCGCTTTGACTTCATTCGTCAGGTATTCTCTCACATTTCACTCATTTGGTTTTTACTGCCTCTCTCCATTTTTCTCCTTCCGCTTTGACTTCATTCATCATGTATTCTTTCACATTTCAGTCATTTCCTTTTTACTGTTTCTTTCCATTTTTCACCTTCCGCTTGGAGTTCATTCATCAAGTATTCTTTCACATTTCACTCATTTGGTTTTTACTGCTTCTTTCCATTTTCCGCCTTCAGCTTGGAGTTCATTCATCATGCATTCTTTCACATTTCACTCATTTGGTTTTTACTGCTTCTTTCCATTTTCCGCCTTCCGCTTTGATTTTATTCATCGTGTATTCTTTCACATTTCACTCATTTGGTTTTTACTGCTTCTTTCCATTTTCCGCCTTCCGCCTTGATTTCATTCATCATGTATTCTTTCACATTTCACTCATTTCATTTTTACTGCTTCTTTCCATTTTCCGCCTTCCGCTTTGACTTCATTCATCATGTTTTCTTTGACATTTCAATCCTTTTGTTTTTTACTGCTTCTTTCCATTTTCCACCTTCCGCTTTGACTTTATTCATCATGTATTCTTTGACATTTCACTCATTTCGTTTTTATTGCTTCTTTCCATTTTCCACCTTCCGCTTTGATTTCATTCGTCAGGTATTCTTTCACATTTCACCCATTTCATTTTTACTGCTACTTTCCATTTTCCGGCTTCCGCTTTGACTTCATTCATCATGTTTTCTTTGACATTTCACTCATTTGGTTTTTACTGCTTCTTTCCATTTTCCGCCTTCCACTTGGAGTTCATTCATCATGTATTCTTTCACATTTCACTCATTTGGTTTTTACTGCTACTTTCCATTTTCCGCCACCCGCTTTGACTTCATTCATCCTGTAATCTTTGACATTTCACTCATTTCGTTTTTACAGCTTCTTTCCATTTTCCGCTTTGACTTTATTCATCGTGTATTCTTTCACATTTCACTCATTTGGTTTTTACTGCTACTTTCCATTTTCCGCCTTCCGCTTTGACTTCATTCATCGTGTATTCTTTCACATTTCACTCATTTGGTTTTTACTGCTTCTTTCCATTTTCCGCCTTCCGCTTTGACTTCATTCATCATGTATTCTTTCACATTTCACCCATTTGGTTTTTACTGCTTCTTTCCATTTTCCGCCTTCCGCTTTGACTTTATTCATCGTGTATTCTTTCACATTTCACTCATTTGGTTTTTACTGCTTCTTTCCATTTTCGGCCTTCCGCTTTGACTTCATTCATCATGTATTCTTTGAAATTTCACTCATTTGGTTTTTATTGCTTCTTTCCATTTTCCGCCTTCCGCTTTGACTTTCATCATCGTCTATTCTTTCACATTTCACTCATTTCGTTTTTACTGCTTCTTTCCATTTTCTGCCTTCCGCTTTGACTTCATTCATCGTGTATTCTTTCACATTTCACTCATTTGGTTTTTACTGCTTCTTTCCATTTTCCGCCTTCCGTTTTGACTTTATTCATCGTGTATTCTTTCACATTTCACTCATTTCGTTTTTACTGCTTCTTTCCATTTTCCGGCTTCCGCTTTGACTTCATTCATCATGTTTTCTTTGACTTTTCACTCATTTGGTTTTTACTGCTTCTTTCCATTTTCCGCCTTCCGCTTTGACTTCATTCGTCAGATATTCTTTCACATTTCGCTCATTTCGTTTTTACTGCTACTTTCCATTTTCTGCCTTCCGCTTTGACTCCATTCATCGTGCATTCTTTCACATTTCACTCACTTGGTTTTTACTGCTTCTTTCCATTTTCTGCCTTCCGCTTGGAGTTCATTCATCATGTATTCTTTCACATTTCACTCATTTGGTTTTTACTGCTACTTTCCATTTTCCGCCTTCCGCTTTGACTTCATTCATCGTGTATTCTTTCACATTTCACTCATCTGGTTTTTACTGCTTCTATCCATTTTCCGTCTTCCGCTTGGAGTTCATTCATCATGCATTCTTTCACATTTCACTCATTTCGTTTTTACTGCTACTTTCCATTTACCGCCTTCCGTTTTGACTTTATTCATCGTGTATTCTTTCACATTTCACTCATTTCGTTTTTACTGCTTCTTACCATTTTCCGTCTTCCGCTTTGACTTCATTCATCATGTTTTCTTTGACTTTTCACTCATTTGGTTTTTACTGCTTCTTTCCATTTTCCGCCTTCCGCTTGGAGTTCATTCATTATGTATTCTTTGACATTTCACTCATTTGGTTTTTATTGCTTCTTTCCATTTTCCGCCTTCCGCTTTGACTTTCTTCATCGTCTATTTTTTCACATTTCACTCATTTCGTTTTTACTGCTACTTTCCATTTTCCGCCTTCCGTTTTGACTTTATTCATCGTGTATTCTTTCACATTTCACGCATTTGGTTTTTACTGCTTCTTTCCATTTTCCGGCTTCCGCTTTGACTTCATTCATCATGTTTTTTTTGACTTTTCACTCTTTTGGTTTTTACTGCTTCTTTCCATTTTCCGCCTTTCGCTTGGAGGTCATTCTTCATGTATTCTTTCACATTTCACTCATTTTGTTTTTACTGCTACTTTCCATTTTCCGCCTTCCTCTTTGAATTCATTCATCATGTATTCTTTCACATTTCACTCATTTGGTTTTTACTGCTTCTTTCCATTTTCCGCCTTCCGCTTGGAGTTCATTCATCATGTATTCTTTCACATTTCACTCATTTCGTTTTTACTGCCTCTATCCATTTTCCGCCTTCCGCTTTGACGTCATTCATCGTGTATTCTTTCACATTTCACTCATTTTGTTTTTACTGCTTCTTTCCGTTTTCCGCCTTCCACTTGGAGTTCATTCATCATGTATTCTTTCACATTTCACTCATTTCGTTTTTACTGCTACTTTCCATTTTCCTCCTTCCTCTTTGAATTCATTCATCATGTATTCTTTCACTTTCACTCATTTGGTTTTTACTGCTTCTTTCCATTTTCCGCCTTCCGCTTGGAGTTCATTCATCATGTATTCTTTCACATTTCACTCATTTGGTTTTTACTGCCTCTATCCATTTTCCGCCTTCCGCTTTGACTTTCTTCATCGTCTATTCTTTCACATTTCACTCATTTCGTTTTTACTGCTTCTTTCTATTTTCTGCCTTCCGCTTTGACTTCATTCATCGTGTATTCTTTCACATTTCACTCATTTCGTTTTTACTGCTTCTTTCCATTTTCCGCCTTCCGTTTTGACTTTATTCATCGTGTATTCTTTCACATTTCACTCATTTCGTTTTTACTGCTTCTTTCCATTTTCCGGCTTCCGCTTTGACTTCATTCATCATGTTTTTCTTTGACTTTTCACTCATTTGGTTTTTTACTGCTTCTTTCCATTTTCCGCCTTCCTTTGACTTCATTCGTCAGATATTCTTTCACATTTCGCTCATTTCGTTTTTTACTGCTACTTTCCATTTTCTGCCTTCCTTTGACTTCATTCATCGTGCATTCTTTCACATTTCACTCACTTGGTTTTTACTGCTTCTTTCCATTTTCTGCCTTCCGCTTGGAGTTCATTCATCATGTATTCTTTCACATTTCACTCATTTGGTTTTTACTGCTACTTTCCATTTTCCGCCTTCCGCTTGGAGTTCATTCATCATGTATTCTTTCACATTTCACTCATTTGGTTTTTATTGCTTCTTTCCATTTTCCGCCTTCCGCTTTGACTTTCTTCATCGTCTATTTTTTCACATTTCACTCATTTCGTTTTTACTGCTACTTTCCATTTTCCACCTTCCGTTTTGACTTTATTCATCGTGTATTCTTTCACATTTCACTCATTTGGTTTTTACTGCTTCTTTCCATTTTCCGGCTTCCGCTTTGACTTCATTCATCATGTTTTCTTTTGACTTTTCACTCTTTTGGTTTTTACTGCTTCTTTCCATTTCCGCCTTCCGCTTGGAGTTCATTCATCATGTATTCTTTCACATTTCACTCATTTGGTTTTTTTACTGCCTCTATCCATTTTCCGCCTTCCGCTTTGACTTCATTCATCGTGTATTCTTTCACATTTCACTCATTTGGTTTTTTACTGCTTCTTTCCATTTCCGCCTTTCGCTTGGAGGTCATTCATCATGTATTCTTTCACATTTCCTCATTTTGTTTTTTTACTGCTACTTTCCATTTTCCGCCTTCCTCTTTGAATTCATTCATCATGTATTCTTTCACATTTCACTCATTTGGTTTTTACTGCTTCTTTCCATTTTCCGCCTTCCGCTTGGAGTTCATTCATCATGTATTCTTTCACATTTCACTCATTTCGTTTTTACTGCCTCTATCCATTTTCCGCCTTCCGCTTTGACGTCATTCATCGTGTATTCTTTCACATTTCACTCATTTCGTTTTTACTGCTTCTTTCCATTTTCCGGCTTCCGCTTTGACTTCATTCATCATGTTTTCTTTGACTTTTCACTCATTTGGTTTTTACTGCTTCTTTCCATTTTCCGCCTTCCGCTTGGAGTTCATTCATCATGTATTCTTTGACATTTCACTCATTTGGTTTTTATTGCTTCTTTCCATTTTCCGCCTTCCGCTTTGACTTTCTTCATCGTCTATTTTTTCACATTTCACTCATTTCGTTTTTACTGCTACTTTCCATTTTCCGCCTTCCGTTTTGACTTTATTCATCGTGTATTCTTTCACATTTCACTCATTTGGTTTTTACTGCTTCTTTCCATTTTCCGGCTTCCGCTTTGACTTCATTCATCATGTTTTCTTTGACTTTTCACTCTTTTGGTTTTTACTGCTTCTTTCCATTTTCCGCCTTCCGCTTGGAGTTCATTCATCATGTATTCTTTCACATTTCACTCATTTGGTTTTTACTGCCTCTATCCATTTTCCGCCTTCCGCTTTGAATTCATTCATCGTGTATTCTTTCACATTTCACTCATTTGGTTTTTACTGCTTCTTTCCATTTTCCGCCTTTCGCTTGGAGGTCATTCATCATGTATTCTTTCACATTTCACTCATTTTGTTTTTACTGCTACTTTCCATTTTCCGCCTTCCTCTTTGAATTCATTCATCATGTATTCTTTTCACATTTCACTCATTTGGTTTTTACTTTTCTTTCCATTTTTTTCCGCTTGGAGTTCATTCATCATGCTTCTTTCACATTTTCATTTCGTTTTTACTGCCCATTTTCCGCCTTCCGCTTTTGACGTCATTCATCATGTATTCTTTCACATTTCACTCATTTTGGTTTTTACTGCCTCTTTCATTTTCCGCCTTCCACTTTGAGTTCATTCATCGTGTATTCTTTCACATTTCACTCATTTCCTTTTTACATTTTGTTTTTTCCGCCTTCCTCTTTGAATTCATTCTTGTATTCTTTTCACTTTCACTCATTTGGTTTTTACTGCTTCTTCCATTTTTCTGCTTTCCGGTTCATTCATCATGTATTCTTTCACATTTCACTCATTTGGTTTTTTACTGCCTCTATCCATTTCGTTTTTTGACTTCATTCATCGTGTATTCTTTCACATTTCACTCCGCTTCTTTCCTTTTCTTTTCCAATTCATTCATCATGTATTCTTTCACCTTTCACTCATTTCTTGTTTTTACTGCTTCTTTCCATTTTCCGCCTTCCTCTTTAGGTCATTCATCATTTATTCTTTCACTTTTTTTGGTTTTTACTGCTTCTTTCCATTTCGTTTTTCGCTTGGAGGTCATTCATCATTTATTCTTTCCATTTCACTCATTTCGTTTTTTTACTGCTTCTTTCCATTTTCCGCTTTCCGCTTTGACTTCATTCATCATTTCCTATTTCACATTTCACTCATTTTGTTTTTACTGCTTCTTTCCGCATTCCGCCTTCCGCTTTGATTTCATTCATCATTTATTCTTTCATATTTTACTCATTCCTTTTTTACTGCTTCTTTCCATTTTCCGCCTCCCGCTTTAACTTCATTCATCATGTATTTATCCCATTTCCCTCATTTCGTTTTTACTGCTTCTTTCCATTTTCCGCCTTCCGCTTTGACTTTATTCATCATGTATTTTTTCACATTTCACTCATTTCATTTTTACTGCTTATTTCCATTTTCCGCCTTCCTCTTTGACTTCATTCATCATGTATTTTTTCACATTTCACTCATTTCGTTTTTACTGCTTCTTTCCATTTTCCGCCTTACGCTTTGACTTCATTCATCATTTATTCTTTCACATTTCACTCATTTCATTTTTACTGCTTCTTTCCATTTTTATAAACGAAATGACTGAAATATGAAAGAATAAATGATGAATGAATTAAAGAGGATTTCATTTTATCGCTTATTTCATTTTTCCAGCCTTTCTCTTGGTTCCCATTCATCATTTATTCTTTCATATTCCATTCATTTCTTTTTTACCGCTTATTTCCTTTTCCCTGGCTGTCTCTTTGATTATATTCGTAATTTATTCTTTCCCCTTTTAGACATTTCATTTTTACAGCTTCTTTTTTGTTACTCCTTTCCCTTTGATTTCATTTTTCATTTCCTCTTTCACCTTTCAGACATTTCGTTTTTACCGCTTCTTTCCATTTCCCCCCTCCTCTTTGACTTCATTCATCTTTTATTCTTTCATATTTCAGTCATTTCGTTTTTCCTGCTTCTTTCCATTTTACGCTTTCCTCTTTGATTTCATTCTTCATTTCTTCTTTTTTTCAGATATTTCTTTTTTTACCATTTCTTTGCTTTTTTACCATTCGTCTTTGATTTCATTCATCATTTATTCTTTCACCGTTCATTCTTTTCTTTTTATGGCTTATTTTCTTTTTCCAGCCTTTCCTTTGGTTCCCCTTCATCATTTATTCTTTCATTTTTCATTCATTTCTTTTTCACCGCTTCCTTCCTCTTTCCGCCTTTTCCTTTGATTTCTTTCATTCCTCTTTCACTTTTCATTCATTTCGTTTATAGCGCTTCCTTTTATTTCATGCTTTTCTCTTTCATTTCATTGTTCATTTGTTCTTTCACTTTTTAATCATTTCTTTTTTACAGGTTCTTTCCTTTTTCCTTCTTTCTTCTATGTTTTCATTCTTCATTCTTTTCTTTCACATTTCAGTCATTTCATTTTTTCCCTTCTTTGCTTTTCCTTCCTTCCTCTTTAATTCCATTATTCATTTATTCTTTCACATTTCAGTCACTTTTTAACGCTTCTTTCATTTTTCCGCCTTCCTTTTTGACTTCATTCTTCATTTATTCTTTTACTTTTCAGTTATTTCTTTTTGCAGCTTCTTTCGTTTTTTCCGGCTTTCACTTTTATTTCATTCTTCATTTCTTCTTACTTTCAATCATTTCATTTTATCCCTTCTTTCCTTTTTCCAACCTTCCTCTTTCATTTCATTCTTCGTTCATTCTTTTACCTTTCTGTCATTTCTTTTTTAATGCTTATTTCCTTTTTCCTTCCGTGCTCTTAGATTTCATTCAACATTTATTCTTTCACTTTTCAGTAATTTCTTTTTTAACGCTTCTTTTCTTTTTCTTCGCCTCCCACTTTAATTTCATTCTTCATTTATTCTTTCAATTTTCAGTCATTTCTTTTTTAACGCTTCCTCCCTTTTTCCGGCATTCCACTTTGGTCGCATTCATCATTTATTTTTTCACTTTTCAGTCATTTCTTTTTACCGCTTCTTTCCTTTTCCCGCCTTTCTCTTTGATTTCATTTTCCATTAATTCTTTCACTTTTCAGTCAGTTTCTTTTATATCGCTTCCTTACTTTTTCCTCTCTTCCTTTGTGATTTCATTCAGCTATCGTTTCAGTCTTTATTCATTTTTTCCTTTTACTTTCTTCCATTGTGTTTCCACTGTCGTACATTCTCTCCGTGCACCAAATAATATTAGGCTTCATCTCTCGACAGTCCTTATTGTCTGCACCTATTAGCTTGTTAACCACTACACATGATGAATCACAACCGCACATTCTAATCTGATTATTTTTTCTTTTTTTAAAACTTGGCTTCATATAAGAGAAGGTCAAAGAAGGGTGCGCCTTTATGTCTTGTTCTTTCCGTATGAACTAAAACATCTTGTTTTTTGTATTTTGATAATATATGAGCCTATTTATATTTTTATATATTTATCCTTACGTAACATTTGATGAATAATCTCAACTACATATTTTATTCCTTTTTTAAAGACCATCCTTCTTTGAACATTGTAGATTGTCACTACAGACTACCAACTGCTGCAAAGTCTAAATTGTATAGCAAATTTAACTCGAATAAAAATAATGACATAATGGAGATGTTGGCATTCCATACTTCTTCAGATAAAAGAATAATTCGGAAATCCCCATCAATACTGGAAAGAACGATAACAGTTACTGAAACCTAATGTCCTGAAAAAAATATTATTATTATTTATAATTTTCAACTGAAAGCAGATCTGTTAAATCGGTTATTGAATGCCAAATGTTTCCTTGTAGGGAAACGGCTAATATTTCCTTTCTAAATTTTCTCCTTTTCTCTTTGTCTGTCTTTTTATCTCTTTCTTTCTCGTTTTCTCTCTTCCTTTTCTCTTTTTCGTATTTTCTCTCTTTTTCTTTTTTATTCTCTCATTTTCCCCTCATATATTTTTTTTCTTATTCTCTCTTTCTTATTCTCACATATTCATTCTCTTTTCATCTTTTTATCCTTTCTTATTCTCTCTTTCTTTTTCTCTCACTTTCTCTTACTGCGTCTCTCTTTCTTTTTCTCTTTTTCCTTTTCTGTTTTTCCTTTTCACTTTCTTATTCTCTCTTTTTCCGTCTTATTCTCTTTCTGATTCTCTCTTTTATTTTCACTATTCCCCTCTTGCTTACTCTCTTATTTTCGCTTTCTTACTTTCTCTTCTTTTCTCTTTCTATTGTACTCTTTTTCTGTTTTATCTTTCCTTCTCTTCGCTTTTTAATTTTACTCTTCATTTATCAACATTGTTTTTATTTCATGATCATCATTTTTTTCTCTCCTCTCCATTTTCAGGGCCAACTAAATCATCTACATTTTCAAAGATTCTTTACCAAATTCCCGCCAGAGAAAATGGCGTGACACCAAAGCCTTCACCCAAATTCACATCTTCAGTAATTTTATGCCAACTCTAAGCTTAAACAGGAACAAGAAGGAAACGCAAACAACTGTTAATCACAGAAAATGGAAAATAAAAAAAATACATTCATAAATTAATAAATAAAACTTGAAAGAAAAAACGAAAGAAAAAATAAAAGTACAAAAAGACAAAGATAAAGAAAAAAAATTACATTGTTTTCAAAGTCAATAACAATTAACTACAATGTTTTCTTGTTCAGTTCTCGTGATAGGCATTTTTATTTGGGGATTCAAATCGTCATTGGCAAGTAAGCGTTATTTGTTTTCAAATTCTTTTCATCTTTGTCTTTGACGATTTTATGGCTTCACTCTTCACTTAAATATTATATATTATATATCACACATATCAAATAATATAAACATTATACATAAGTTATACTCGCGTCAAAATCTCAATATATATCTTACAGTACCGAAAAGTTATCTGCCCGACCAAGAAGCTGTTCCAAAGTAAATCAAATTTCGAGAAATAATATGCGCTGAGCGAAAACTTTTCAATTTCCCTGTATATAGGAGGACACATTATATCGTGTATGCAGTCCGGTATCCTCAGATGATATTATCCGATATCACCTGAGGATACGTAAAAGTTGAAACCATGGTAGCGTAATTGGCTGATCTAATGTTTTAAATTTAAAACCTCTGCACGTTAAATTTTTTAATTTTCTTTATATGTGTATTGAGCACTTCTGGATTTTGGACTTTTTAATATAAAATAAACATTATTAATTATTTTTACTGGTAGTTTTGAAATATTAAATAGATACATGCTGATCGTTATTGTTTAGTTTAGACTAACAATATGGACAAACATGATCGATAAATATCTTCTATATTACTCAAATTTTAAGGAATATTTCTCTACAAGACTCTGAAATTATTCACAATATTGATTTCATAAGATCATATGAAAACGTTATTGATAAAGCCCTTTTTTCTTAATGGATTTATCTTAGGAATTAGGGCCAGTGCATACTACCTCCGAACCCCCCGAGTGTAAGTGTAGGGAAGCATGATTGGGGAGCCCGGTAAGTGCTTTGTGATTTGCTATCTTATAAATATTTGCTTTTTTTCTACCTACACTTATATAACTTATTACAAATTAAACTAAGCACAACTGACTATTTGTTGTAGATTCCGAGATAAAATTCGGTCTCCAAAGAATGACAAACGCAAGAATTAAGGATAAGAAATCAAATGTATTTACACAATAATACAATGAGTAATATTGTTAGTAAATCCAGGAACGCGGTTAGTAGCAATAACATATAGATATATACAGTCTCGAAGTAGGACTTCCTTAGAGTCGGGCGTGCTTGTAACCTTGACTTCTACAAGCGGTTACCTCACACTATTACTCAATCTCAATCTCAATCTCCTCCCACTATTTGTATACTGACTCTGGGTATTTAACGGCAGCAGTCCAAGTAACACTCTGGTCGAGTCCACTTATATGAAAAAGGGGTGGACCCCATAACACTATTAAAGGATGAAAAGTTTTCCCGGGTTTTGACGTCATTGTAGATTTATTTAAGATGGAATGATCTATTATGGCATGTCTCTAATTGTTATTTAGATACATTGTATTTATTTTCAATTTTCCTAGTTGAATTCTTTATCTATTTTGCATATGATTCATTATTGTACGTAATTAGGTTACAATAAAGTTATTAATTTATATGAATACTACCTTATGAAAATTGAGATATACTAACATGGAGATCTCTATCATAGGGCAAGGGAGACCTTTACACCAGCCCTGCACACAGACACATGCCAACATACAGTGATCAGTAGAAAAACCTATATTTTTTAATCTCTTCAGGCCGTACGCGATCATTACTATCCACAGATTATGCTTTATTTTCTATTATTTGCTATGACTGCTTGAGAAAGATGGAGTGGTTTCCCGTTACCTTATCCACGGTTTGGAATTCTGAGATTTAACTCTCTAACACTAGATGCTACATTAGGCTAGAGGGTCCAGTCTAATCTTCTATTCAACTTTTAAACAAGAAAAATCTCAAGTTAATATTAAAAATTGCCGCAAAACATTATTGATTTATTTAAGATGGAATGATCTATTATGACATGTCTCTAATTTGTATTTAGATACATTGTATTTATTTTCAATTTTTCTTAGTTGAATTGTTCACCTATTTTGCATATGATTCATTAATGTACACAATTAGGTTACAATAAATTTATTATTTTATATGAATACTACCTTATGAAAATTGATATAAAGTGGAGATCTCCATCATAGAGAAAGGGAGACTTTTGCCCCGGTTCTGCACATAGACACACACCGGCAGACAGAGATCAGTAGAAACACCAACATTTTTTAATCTCTTCAGGACGGAGGCGATCATGACTCCCCACAGATTATGCTTTATTTTCTCTTATTTGCTATGACTGCTTGAGAAAGATGGAGTGGTTTCCCGTTGCCTTATCGAGGGTTTGGAATTCAGAGTTTTCACTCTCTGACACTAGATGCTACCCTAGGCTAGAGGGTCCAGTCTACCCTACTATTCACCTTTTTTACTAGAAAAATCTCAAGTTAATATTAAAAATTGCCGCAAATCTCAAGTTAATATTAAAAATTGCAGCAAATCATTATTGATTTATTTAAGATCTGTTATGACATGTCTCTTATTTGTATTTAGATACATTGGATTTATTTTCAATTTTTCAAGTTGAATTGTTCACCTATTTTGCATATAATCCATTATTGTACATCATTAGGTTAAAATAAAATGCGTATTTCATAGATACAGGATGCTGTATCATGGATTCAATGGGGGGATGAGACTCTTGCACTGGCCCTCATAACAATTATCAGTTATAACCGTTTGGTTATCTTTAATACGAAAGGATTGTTTGCTTTGTAAGTTTTATTTACTTGCCACGGGGCAATAGCCTAGTGCATTGAAACGTTGCCTTTCAATCTCTGGGAGAACATCTTCTTCTAGGTGCTGTGTTCCATCAGGATGTTGGCGATCATGGCACTTCACAATTTCATGTCCTTTGTACCTCCAAAGAAACGCGATACCAGAGGATTAAAATTAATTTTAAAAATAAAAAATCTTTCTTGAAGCTTTTATTTTACTTTTAATTTCAAACTAATTGATTAAATATAATATTTCCAATAAGCAAAATATTTTGTTGTATTTCAAAAACTAATTTAAATTGACTGGAAAGAGTTCTTTTTTAATCGCTAAATATCATTGATTTTAGCGACATTTTTAGCCATCAAACAGCAGAATGTAATTCTCATTATTAAAAAGTTTTTCAGAAATAAATACACTTTACTGAATTTTTATTTGAGGAATATTAGCCGATTTAAATTTTAATTAATCTGCTTTGAAACAAATATTACTTACTTTAATCTTAAAATATCACTGGAATGCATGTTGATTTTACAATTACTAAAAAACACCAAACAAAAACTTTTAACGTGACCTTGTAACTTTCATTCAAAAATTATGTTGCATTTTTTCTTTTCAATTCATTTATGTTCTTTTCCCACAAGACTAATAAGTCAATAGTTTTTGTGAGTTCATTTCTCTTGGTTGGGTTGGTTGGTTATAATATATATTTAATGCTTTATTCATACTAATAAAATTCATCTCGGGGTGGTCTTACTATGTTTAATATATCAAACAAGTAAATGCTTAAATGCTATTCAAAATTTTAAATGTGTTTTGGAGGCTTAAGTATTGTATACAGACAGACACATGTAAAGATAGGTACCTCCGCACATTCATGATACCAAGGGTTTTAAATGAATGTTTAAAAATGAAAAATATTTCTTGAAGATTTTATTTTAGTTTTAATTTAAAGTTACTAGATTAAATTTAATATTTTCAATAAATAAAATACTTTGCTGCATTTCAAAACTAATTTAAAATTGACTGGAAGGAGGTTTCATTTGAAATTGCTAACAATTACTGATTTTAGTGCCATTTTTAGACATCTTTCATCACAATGTCATTCTCCTTAATAAAAAAAAATCTTTCAAAAATAAAATATAATTTTCTGAAACTCTGAGGGATATTAGCCGATTTAAAGTCTTTGAACAAATATTACTTAAGTTTAAAATATCGGAGAATGGATTTTTAGCACTGAGGTAGGTGTTTATTTCAGGTGTTGACCGGTTGGCAGCTAGATTGACAGACGGAAGTTTATATTTTTCTACGGGGGATATATCTGTAAAAATTACTTGAGGAATATAACATGGGCGCCTTTTTTATATAATTTTTAACTACCCATTAATCTTTAAAATTCAAGAAAATATTCTCCATAATCTAATGTTTTATTCAATTAAAGGAACTTTGGCTTTAAATTTACTACAGTTATCGCTCTTAATTTTTGATAATGTCGTGTATGGGCTTTCGTATTTACAAAAATCGGCACGTTTATACACATACATTTTTTTTTTAATATTGGAGTCCCTGAATTGTAGTAATTTTTACATTTATGATTAGTAAATATAGTTTTTACTTAATAACAATATAACCCAACCGGTACAATCTAACACAGAAATTTAAAAAATTTAAAATAATCTAATTAAAGTTTTTTCATACTAATAAAATTCATCTCGGGGTGGTCTTACTATTGAAAACAATTTTTTAAAAATTAATTATTCATCGAAAAAAAATGTTCTCAAAACAATAGTGTTTATAATATATCTTATTCATAAAAGCACTTTTGTAATTAAATAATTTCTTACTTTTATTAATTTTTTTAATTAACTATCGAAAATAGATTTTCGGTAACTGGGGGGGGGGCGCTGTTTTACAAAAAAAAAAAAAAATGATGATTCAAATTCTCCAATGAATATATAACTAATAGAAACATTAAACAGTACAAAAATGAATTTCTTGAAATTTCATAAAATTAAATAAGTCGGTGTGGGATTTTTTAGAATCCTATAAAAATTTTGGTATTTATTATAGGTTTATTATTAATAACAGGCTTTTTAGAACACTATAAAAATGTTGGTATCAATTATAGCTTTCTACTGAAAAGCCATTAATTTTTGGAACGGTGTATATTAATGGGTTATATATCTTAACCAGACTGCAAGTATTGAGCTCCGAGCGAAGATGAAAGTCAGTAAGAAACTACAGAATATTTTCTTTCCATTGCTCCCTTTTTCTTTCCTTATTCATTTTTTAACATTTTGTTCGCAGGTAAAATAAACCCACACGTCCAGTTAATCAGGGTTCACCAGTCAACTTTTACCCAAAGCGTCATAAACAAAGCAAGTATCATTTTCAATAATACACACAATATGACCTTGTCGACACAGACGAACTCTTTCCTATCGAACAGTTCAGTGAGAGCAACAGATGGAATTTCAGTGGTAACTAACGGTTCCTCTGACCAAACAACGTACACCACGAGTTCGTCGTCCATAAAAATATTACCCAAACGTAATATTTCTAAAGGATTTAACACGAATGAAAATATAATATTCTATCATTTAACACCCAGATATTCTCGACTGGCGATGGAAGAGGCCCACTCGTCACAACCAAACTATTATCAGACAACTGCTTTGAACTATAAAACAGATTTTCGAAAAGAATCGTTCGACAGATTTGATTTATCTCGGAGAACAAATTCCCAACAGAAACAGGAATCATCGTTTACGACCGTTTCAATAAGAGAACCGATACCCAGCGGACTCTTTCACGAAGTAACACCGGCGACCAAAGTCAATTTATCTTCCTCTGTCCGTGTCGTTAGCTTGATATCGAACGAAGGCTTCATAACTAACCAGGGTTATCCGTATGCATATGAAGACGCAGCATATTGTCAGTGGAGTGTTCGTTTGGCGAACGGAACTCGGATCAAAATTACGTTTGAAGATCTAGACGTGGAGTTCGACAAAGACTTTTTAGAGATCTCGTTTGGTCAAGGAAACGAGTATTATTTTCGGCGATTCACAGGCAATAAAGTTCCACCTGCTTCTGTATTCAACACTGACAAAATAAAAATCGTTTTCAAAACTGATCGAAATGGACATGGACGTGGATTCTACATATATTTTAAAGAAACAAATGAAGGTAAGATAGTATATTATCTTATTTCCAAGTATAAACAATAAGTTCACGCTTATTTATTAGTTTGGTCATCATGAATGTATTGGAAATTAATTCTCTTTAACTATATGTGGTATTGGATACTGTTGCGGAGGTGTAGGTTATTAGAAAAATATGTATATATCAGAAGGTATTATTTGTGTTGGCTGCGTGTGTCATATCATTTTTCCTTAAAGGGACAAACGCGACCTTTCCACAGAACTACATTGTTGTGGGTCTGAGAAGACAGGAAAGGTTATTTACAACACATCCCCGCGAGGCAGGATGTGGCACAAGGCCGTTTTTAATGCGGGGTTAAAACCGAGCCAGTGGGCTCGGGCAAAAATTCCCCGTAAACCCCGTAAAAACGATGTCGGGGAGCTGTCTACCACCCCAGACGAGGCTCTGTCTTTAGGCATAGCCACGTCTGGGTTCCTCTCCGCCCGAAGGCAGAGAGTTCGACCAGCTCAGCTGGAGACGAATCTCCAACTAATTGCCGAAGCAACCACATGGTTATTTTCTAAGAATAACTTAGATGTGGCACAAGGCCGAAAGTATGGGGGACCTAGTGAGGATCGAACTTACTTTTCAGTCGTAACTGATCTAGCGAGACAAGCTGACTAACCATTACACTACGCCGAGGTGAGAAGACAGGAAAGAGAAAGAGTTGAAGATGTCGCTCGTATTTGTAATGTTGTATGTCACGTGATAGGCTCGAAAACGCATAGACAGATTTTTGGCGGAATTGTATTTTCGTTCAGGTCAGAAACTAGGTTAATACAAATCGAACGTAGTTGAAAACATTTTATTGACATTTATTGACCAATCAGGAGTCAGAGAAATATCAAGGTTCTGTTTTTGTCGGTCGCACTACTGTTACGTAAGAAATCAACTGGAATCTTTTTTAAACAATGGAATTATTTAGATCACAAATAAAGTATTATTAAATTGAAGTAGAACACTAAAATACTAGTGTACTAGTGTCCCGTTCAAAATAAAGGCAATAAGTAGAAAGTTTTAACAGTAAGATGCAGTGAAGCAAACGTCTTGAAACAATGTACTGAGATTCAGTAAAGCAGAAATAAATAATTCACAGCTAAAATAGAAAACAATGAACCTTTTAATTAATCCGTTCCATTTAAATTTTTAAGTGGTAGCTATGATACATTGAATACCCTAGATATTATATGAATCACTTTTTGCCGAATATATTTTCATGTTAAAAAAAATGCGGTATGTGGTTAATATAACAGTGAAATGCAAATAAATCAAGGAAGAAAAAGATTATCATCGGAGCGACAAAAACAGCGACTTCAAAGCCTATTTCAAGAACAATTTGGGGCGATCACTTAATAGACAAACGTATATGAATGCCTTGTGGGAGTCGAAGAACTAATGTGGTGGTCAGTTAGGGTGGAGATGTGGAAGTCGCCAAAGAAGCGGGTTTACTTATTTACAGGTGATTATCTTCGGATAACATCCTTTATCCAAATATATACCAATTTATGATCTTTGCATGTAAAGATAATTAATACAAAGATATATATCACATGTAATTATAAAATTTTATATATCTCAAAATAAAATATACAATAATATTCAAATAGTTCCCATCAAAAAGTTCTCGTGTTGAAAGTCTTTAAGTCCTTAGCATATATATATATATATATATATATATATATATATATATATATATATATATATATGGTGTATATTTTCACGAGCTGCGACGCGATTTTCGCTTCAGCGTCTCGTATACACGAGTTAGTCGTTGCTTTGAAATTTTTCATGCAACAAAAACAGACTATCATTATTGTTTCATCCGTATATTGGTTGATATATTGAAAAGTAGAGAGAGAGAGAGAGAGAGAGAGGAGGAGGAGGAGGAGGCGGAGGATAGTCTTCGTTAATGTGTATGTAGGTATGTAATTATTTGTTGATAGCAGTAATTCTTTTGACTCTCTCTGTGGGATTTTTAGGCGTGTCCGAAGCTTTAGGGTAAGGGGAAGCGGATGAAATTCTTTTCGGCAGCTGGTCCGGTTCGTTTGCCTGCTCGTCACTGTCTTAACACATTTTTTTTTAAAGACAATAGAATTCATTCGCGAACTGTTCTTGATTTGGATTGTTTCCAGAAATGCATCATTTGATAATTCCTTTTTCTTAACCTACATTTAGGAATGATAACCTTTTGAACTCTTATTTCTTTCTTTATTTTTTCTTATCTTTTTCTTTTTTTTATTTCTTTATGACAAAACAAAAAGCTTTGTCAACTTTTAGCTTTCTGTTTTTATAATTTTTGAAATAGTGATCTTTTTTTTAAATTTTCTATCACTACAGCCTCACATGAAAAACTTGAAAAAATAAGACTGCAAAATCTAAGAAACGTAATAGTAAAAGAACTGATTAATTAAACGGTTTATTTTACTCGAGAACTAATTTTGTCTAAGTGTGGATAATTATTTTATTTGTATTGACTATTGAAACGTCTAAGGAAAGTAATTAATCATAAATTTACAAAGCTGAAGTCGATTTACTTCCCTTTCCATTACAGATGGGACAGGAAATATATAAATGAATACGCAAGAATATATAAATACATATTGATATAATGGAATATTATACACCTGAGTTCCCCCTCACTGGAATATGATTGGCTGGTGTCTGTCATAAATACAGACGGACGTGTAGGTACGACAGAGTTTAAGTCTATGACGACGCCCATTGGACTACGCCATTGGCTATCCTACTGGTCTACACTTATTACCTGCAACTACGACGAGTACCAGTCGATTACTGCTACTGTGTACTACTTGGTTACAGTAGCGAAAACCACTTAGCTACCTCGATCAAATATATCCCTTTCCGGGACATATCACATATTGATAATTATTATATAATTTGATGATTTCCAATTTTGCCGCTATAAACAATTTTCGCCTAGCAAACGCTGAATTAACTCCTTGACATTTATTTGACCCCTTTCATATTCTGAATGCTTGTTTTGGCTGAAGTTGATTGACTGATTTGTTCTTTATGGTTTATATACACCTTGTGAGTTATTTAAAGTTGAATCATATTATGTATTGTATGGATATTTTTTCAGTTAATATTGCGTTGACAACTTTTTCATAATAGCAATGGTTTTTCCAACTACAAGTCCAACTATTTAACCCAGAAATCATAGATGAAAGGAGATGGATTCATGCCTTTCTCAAGGATAACTGAATGTAAGGTGCCCAACTTGAATTCGAACTCGACTCTTCGATTTCTCATTTTGAGACGATATCTCTTACATCAGCCACACATCTATGTTTTGATTTGAAAAGTTATGTGTCAGAAATGAATGAAAAATATAAAGCGGCTTACAGCCGTATCACTTTGAAACACTGGTTAAGCAACGTCGAGCCTGGTCAGTACCTAGACGAGTGACCACTTGCTATAATATATATATATATATATATATATATATATATATATATATATATATATATTCAAGCAAGTTTGGTTAAATAATTTAGACGTATTATGTCTATTTTAATTTTAATCCTTTCAAGACCAAGTATTCATAATTGATTCTATTCAGTGTCGGCTTTAATTTTATTACCCGATTTTGTACGTGATGTAAGCAGAAAAAGACCAAAACAACAATGACCCTACGCCTCCCACAATTGTGAAGTCGTCATGTACCTATTTTTGCAGCGATATTTCGATCTAGTCTGCTGTGTTCAATTTCGCCCTAATTCTCTTGGAAAAAGGCATGCAACTGTCACTTTTCCTCCTAGTTATGGGTTAAACAGGGCTCTATAGTCTTGAGCAGCAACCAGTCTGAGAGAAAGAATATATGAATTTTAAAATGTGCAAAAGGCTAAAGTATTAACTATCTTTCTCAAGAAATCATGTCAATTTACAGATTCTACTTTATGTGCCTTTCTCCCAAGGACGTGGATGAACATGGATCTCCACAAGTTCCTGTACTTTTTAGCTCTTACTAAATTTTGTCTTTCTGTTATTTTTTCTAAAATTTGTTTCTCGGTACATTTAATCACACTTACTAAATTTATACTTTTCCGATGTCTCTTTTGCCTTCAATCTGTCCTGTGAGTATTAGATTTTCCAAGCTTTCTTTCCTCATTATGTATACTAGAAACCTCAACTGATTCTTCCTGATGTTAAGTATGTCTCCTTTTTGTTTCCATTTTCTCTAAAACTTCGCTGTTTCTCACATGTTCTTTCCATGGTATCCTCAGCATCCTTTTTCTGACACTATATTTCTATTACTGCACGTCTTCATCTTTGAGGAGATCGTCAAGCACTCACTCCTATACAGGAATACAGATATCACGTAACAGTTTAGTACTCTTTTCCTTGTTTCTAGTGAAAGTTTTCGTTTTCTTAGTACTTTGTTTAACATTTGAGATAACTTAGGCGCAGAAATGTGACAACCTTGCTTTTTTTTTTAAGCGTTTCACTCCAAGCAAGGTGGGAAGCCACTAGCACGCAAGGGGTTACAGAAAGTTGGAGCGGGAGCAAATAGAAGTGACAGAGGAAAGTATGAAGAGAAGGATAGGGGATAGATCAAAGCAAATGGAGACGTCGATTGACATTACATTTGAATAGTTGGAGGTTATAGCTATCAGAGAAACAGGAGAAGGGGGGAGTTCCACAGGCGAGAAGTGCGAGACATGAAACTATTGGAGTAGAAGAGACCGCTGCATTTAACAGTTTAGACAGTGAAAGATGCCAGTCTAGTTGAACGCTTAAATTCATGAAGTCTGGGAACCAGTGAAAGCGGTTCATCGGAGCAGTTACCATGAAAGTATTTGTAGAAGAAACAGATGGAGGAGACGCACATCTGTGAGAGAGAGACTGCAGACGAGATGCCAGATCTCCTTCTATATATAAAATTCTGTGTCTTCCGTTTGTCCGTCCATTACACCCTCTAACATAGCCATATATTGATCGATCAAAACCAAATTTTGGGGAGA